TTATGGATTGCTGTAAATGTTGTTGAACTTGCTCAGCAGAAGCTTTAGATATTTTTGAAGTACGGGTTCATAGAAATATTTGAACTTGTATGCTTATCTTGTTCTGAAGCAAAACAGTCATCATATGCTTGTTGTAGTTAGATGTTAAAAGGTGGCTGCTCATGCAATTTTGAGGGATAGAAATCTGATGGAACACCATTGAATTGAGTACTGATGTGCCTGTTGACTACTTAAAAATGCAGGTAATGGATCGTTATGTTGATCCTTTAGTAGCTCACTTGAAGTCAATGCTAAATTATCGCAAGTTCAAGAGGGGCACAAAAGCAGAGGTTGATGAACTTTTGAAGATTGAGAAGTTGGAGTATCCTATGAGGATAGTTTATTGTTTTGGGATATCGCATGAACATCCAGGCACGTTCATTCTGACCTATATACGGAGTACAAATCCACACCATGAGTATGTTGGTTTATATCCTAAGGGATTCAAGTTCAGAAAAAGGATGTTTGAGGACATTGATCGGCTTGTAGCATATTTTCAGCGCCATATTGATGACCCTCAGCATGAGTCAGGACCATCAATTAGATCGGTTGCTGCTATGGTGCCAATGCGGAGCCCTGCAACTGGTGGTTCAACTAATGAGGGTGGTTGGAGAGGCCAGTCTTTTGACAGGGATCGGTCATCTACGCCGAGTTCACGAACAGGTGAAGTCTACTAAAAGAATGCAACAAGGGTTTGCAACTTCAATGTTTGATGAGCATCAACATTTGCATGGGTGTAACTGTTTTGTTGCAATTCAATCAGCAGAATGGAAGTACCGAATAAATCACTAAAAGCTATTAGTTAAAATTAGGTATTTATGCTGTAACAGATTTAAAAAAAAGGTCACGTTTCTGCATATAACTTGAACAATTTGACTAGAACATTGGCCCTACACTTGGAATATGGACTGCCCTTTACAGATGTTTCTTTCTGCACAATATGGCCAACTGAATGGAAAACTCTAATTAAGGTTCATTGCTCTATGGCTTTTGTGCACATTTAATTAGCCAAGTGTGTTTTTTTTGGCTCTCATCCTCAGTTTGCTGGTTGGTTAGTTTTCATTTGGTCCCTGTTGTACTTTCTTCAACAAAATTTTCAGTCGCCTTTGTTGGTTTAATTATGTTGCCCTTCTGTCATGTATTATAGAGATACGCACTGATTATCTGTTTTATCCTGTCCGCAATGACACCAGACTCATAGAATTCCTTCTGTTTTTTCTTCGTGTCTGATTCTTGCTTCCTTTATCAAGACTTAATGGACTTACATTTTTGTATTTAACTTTACAGGCCGAAATGATTACAGAAATGGTGGCAGTAGAGATGGACATCCAAGTGGCCTACCTAGACCATATGGTGGCCGTGGCCGTGGTCGAGGAACATATAACAACAACAGAGGGAATAGCACAGGCAATGAGAGGCAGGATTCTGGTTATGATGCTCCAACATGGGGTGCAGATTCCAAAGACAGGGATGAGGGCTTGGGCAACTTTCCTGGTGCAAAAGTCCAAAATTCACCTGGAAGGGAAGCTTTCCCTGGTGGTTGGGGTGCTGGTGGAAGTGGCAGTGGAGGCAGCAATTGGGGTGGTGGCAGTGGCAGTGGCTGGGGTCAAGGAAGTGGTGGAGCAGGAGGGTGGGGTGGAGCTGGTGCAAATGATGCTGCTGCCGATAATGGGACTTCAGGATGGGGTTCAGACCCAAAAATAAAAGGTTCGGATAATGGGTCTTCGGGATGGGGTTCTGAACCCAAAAGAGGCGGTGGTGGTGGTTGGTGAAGGGACTAGTACATTTTGTCCCTCCCTTAACAGTTTTCCCACTACCAATCTGTGAGGGATGGTTCGGAAGCTGCTCTTGTATATGGTTCTTGAAGCCCCTTTACCCTTTCTGACCCTGGTCTTTTGCTTGTACTAGATAAAATCAAGTCAATTTCTGTAAGGACAAATCAAGTCAATTTCTCACTTGGAGGATAGCGCTTAGGCATTAAAACGAACAAATTTGGGTCAATGAGGGGATCTCATGTTGAGTTCTTGCAACAATCCCAAATTTCATCTAAATCTGTGTGACTTTTGGAGTCTTAAGGCGCCTACTTAAGCTTGGTGTTCTTGCTAGTAGGGGTGGCAATTTCTGATACGATCCGTTACACAACTCGAAATTCGCATAGGAAAAACAAGACCCGAACAATTAATAATTGGGTAATTTTCGAATCAACTCGTTATGACCCGTTTAATAAACGGGTGAGTTTCGAGTTAACCCGTCGACCCGTTTAAATACCCACTAACCCATTTAAATTCTTTTTTGTTTTTTTTTGGAGAGAACCTGTTTAAATTCTGTTAGACTATAATAAATATTACAATTATACACTTACAAATTTTCTTTCTTTTCCTTCTCTCCTCTCTATTTTTTTCCTTATTTTTTTTCTCTCTTTTCTCCCCTTTCTTTCTTTTTTTCTAATTAACTTATATATATATATAGTAATTAAATTAAAAATTATTTATTATTAAGACAGTTATTGTCACGGAGGCGTAGAGCTTGAGGTGGAAAATATGGAGCCAAAACATGGAGCGGAAATTACGAAGCGACCCAGCAAATTACTTTTAAAAGAATATTATTATTATTATGCAGTGGTCCAGCAAATTACGGAGCGGCCCTGCGAATTACAATTGACTTTGGTGAATGTGTTTGTCTATAAAAGGAAACAAGGGAAACAAAGGAAAGCACAAAATCTGAAGGAAAAAAAAACCTAGCTCTGCCAATTTTCTTCCTTCCCATTTCTCTCGATCTAAACCTATCTCCTCAAACTCAGAAATAAAATGGTCTCTGCATTCCCATTTTCTCTTTATTTAAACCTAGCTCCACCAACACAGACATGAGGGCAATGTGTTAGAAATATGCCCTTAAAGCCAACTAATTATGTAATAGTTAGAGTTAAGGATATTCTTGATAAAAGACATATTATGTTATCAATGGGTAATAAATATTATTTTATACATTAAATCATCATATATTATCTTTCAGTATGTAGAACAATCATAGTCCAATGAATACATAAGTGGATATAAGAGCTATGTAATGAGATTGCATACATGGAGACTTCACATCATCCCTAAATCCTGAATATGTTCATGGTCATAGGAATATTGATTGGGTGTCAATATTCCGCAAAGAACAGTACACACAATATTGTCTCTATATGTAGGGAATGACAAGGTTTTAAGTCATTAAGTATAGAGACACATTGGTATGTGTGTAGGTGCTTGTAGAAGAACAAGTACACTGAACGCGATCCAACACATAAGTTATAGCATGGAAGTCTTTACTCACATGTCAAGCTAAACTCATAAATTGCAATGGTGCAAACTAATCCTTAGACCTGAGGCATCATAGATGTTTGGTGGCTATGTTGTTAATTTTTTAGGGCACTATACGGTCATGCTGAATTAAGCAAAGCTTAAAGGTGCTCATCAGGATTCTCAATAAAGTCATGAAAGCAAATGAATGTACAACAAGGAATCTCTACTCTCAGTGAAAGAGAGAGAATACTCCAAGATATGATTGGTCAAATCTTTGTGCAGAGTAGTAGATAAGACTTGAAAGAAGAAGTCTTAAAATCTTACCAAGATAATCATATAAAAGGAATTATTCACATTAGGATATCGACAATCAGATTCCATGATCTAATAATGGCAATAAGGAGTATTGACATAAGAGAAGGATTCAATTGCAAGAACATCTTGCTGTCATCTTTGGATCTTATCTTCCACAAACCAAAAATTGGTCCAATCAAGAAGTAGACTAGCATCCATACTTCTTGATTGCCTTCTCTTCATCCCTAGGAGCATTTGGTGTGGCGAGGTAGAGGACTCCAATCTTGAAGCCTTAAGGTGAAGGGGTCAAAATCAAGAGAAACAAAATGCCTTTTCAACAAATGTGTACATTCTTAAGAAATCGAGAATAGGTTGTTGAGGCCCAAAAAAGTCCATGGTTAGGCCCAAATAAGTTTTCGGTCCAATACGCTACGGTATTAAGAAAAGTCACATATCGGAGTACACGAAGGCTCGTCATATACAAGTCATAGTCCACGTGCCATGCTAAATAAATAATTTGCCATGCCAAGGATTGAAATAATATTATAAAATAAAAGCCCATGCTAAACTAAGCACCGTGTCCCTCTTCAAGGACAATAAATTTGAAGCACGCCAAGCGACATGCCACACCAAGCAAGGAATTATTATTCTGCGCCCAATCACACCACAAGCTTAAGTGGGCCCCAAGCCACTCAAATACTCGAGGCTTGCTTAAGTGGGTTGTGGTATGGATGGTAATAAATTGTCATGAGACCCATTGATGGGCCGAGAAATGGAAGTTTCGGGTTGCTTGGGAGCCTCGGAACTCAAGCCCGTTTCTTAGGCCCAAACATATGGGTGAGCACAAGAGAGAAAATATCACAACCAAATAGCCTATTGACTCAACCAAAAGGCCCAACGCTTGATAAAAGTAGCCCACTTACTCAATAAATCAACTTGGCCCATACAATTACAATAGAAGAGTTGCAAAGCTCCAGCACTTGGTTGAAGAATAAAGCAACAAAGGGAGCAAAATGGCCACGTACGTAGAGCTCCTAGGAGATTCCAGCACATGGGAGGAACAAGTTCCAAGCACAACACATCTGAAGAATCAAGGGATATTAGCGCGCAAGCTACTAGGAGGAGAGGCACCTTTCGAACCAGCATGTGTATCCATTTGCTTTCCTTCATCAGATCTAGCCATGGAAAGAGGAAGGAAAGAAAAAGGGAAATGGCTGAGAATGGGAGCCTCCCATTGAAATAGCTGCGGGAAAGGGCCTTGAGCTCCTAAAAATCCTTGATTTTGCGCAAATGGGCAGAGGAAATTTCACCAAGATGGGGAAAGTCTAGGGAGAAGAAGAGAAAGAGAGGAAAAGATTTGGCCAAATTGGACATAAACCATTAGGGTTTCTTGGAAATGGATGGCTTCCATTGGCTATAAATAGGGTCTCTTTTACCCAACAAAAATCATCCACATCCAAAGAGCAAGCTTCCTCTCTTACTTGCAAAACCCAGCAATTTCATGCACTATTCACCCTTCTTCCCTATTTTCCCTTTTCTGGCATATTGCTCTAACATTTGACAGAGTCACTGTCAAGTTGCCGGAAGAGACACTCAAGCCACCCCTTCCTTTCTCTCCCTTCTCTCTTAGCCAAACCATCTTGCAAGCCTTTCCTTTCTTACTTTTACACCTTTTCTTCCTTCCAAGAACACATAATTTTCTCTTCAGTGCTAAACTCATGCCAATTTTGCTTCCATGCCACGATCTCCTCATGCCAAGCTAAGAATTCATTTGTAAGCACTAAGAATCTACCTGTAAGCAGCCATCATTTTTGTTGGTGAAGGTAACCAAGGTTTTTCCTAAGGTTTTATTACCATTTCGAAATATTTTGGGGTCTGATCTTTGAACTCAGACATAGGGGATATTTTCTTTAGTTTGCTCCTTACGGCAGCCTAGCCCATTTATAGCTGTCAGAAGAAAAAGGCCCCTACAAAGGTCATCGAGGGTAAAGATCTATTCCTTTTTCCCTTTTTTATTTGTGTTCAAAGAGACTATGCTAATATACTTGGTTTAAAATGAAAAAGGTTTAGCTCAACTAGTATAAACAAAATGAAAACACAATTTAGAATGTTTTTGTTGTATAGATTGTGACTAAAGTTCATTCCTAAGCATTAGATGCATGTTTCCTTCAGATAGTGCATGCAGTTGATTCTTCTGCTCTCTTTCTTATTCAGCACGTTTGCTCATTCTTTCTTATTTTTCTCGCTCGGCCCTCTCCAACAACCTCCTCGTGTAAGACATTGATTGTAAAATGTGTTTTTGTAAAATATGAGTGTAGGGGTCTTTTTGTTCCAGTAGCCTGATGAATGAGTTTGGACTGCCGTAAGGAGCAAATGGGTGAAATTACCCCCTGTGTCTGAGTTCAAGAATCAAACCTCAAGAATGCTTCGAAAGGGTAGTGAAGCCTTATGAAGCACCTTGGTTATCCTCACCAGCAAAAATAACAATTGCTTATAGGTAGATTCTTAGTTTGGCATGAGAAGCTTGTGGCATGGGAGCATAACCATCATGAGTTTAGCATAAATAGAGAGATGGCTGTGAATTCCTATGAGAAACAGGGGTTTTAAGACAATGGGGAATGGATTCTAAGAGGGTTTGTTGAAGAGGGAGAGAGATGGGGGTATGATAGGTGTGTTGAGTAGTTTTTGGCAGCTTGATGAAAAATCTGTCAAGCTCTAGAGTGTTTTAACAGAAGAGAAAAGGTGAGGAGATGGATAAATAGAGCTCAAAATTGCAGAGGCTTCAAGGAGGAGAGATAAAGCTTGCTCCCCAGATGTGTGTTGCTTAGGATAAAGAATAAGGAGATAGAAGGTGAGGCACTTGGGCTTGATGTTAGCAGTTAGAAAATAAGCTTGCTCGACTGCTCTGGTTGAGTTTAATGGGTATGAGGTACCTCCTTTTATAGTCATTGGAAGCTCATCTTTCCCAAGAAACCCTAATGGGTTCTCTCCAATTTTGCCAAGTCTCCCCTTTCATTTCTCTTCTCTCCCTTCAATCCATCCCATTTTGTGAAATTCTCCTGTTCTCAATTGCACCAAAAATAGGGTTTTGGGAGCTCTAGGCTTATCAGTGGTGATTTCTTATTTTTGGCTGTCATTTCTCCTCATTTCCTCCCTTATTTCATGGCAAGATCTGGTGGGGGAAAAGAAATGGGTATGTACGCTGGTTTGAAGGGTGTTTTGCTTAAGCATCCCTTGGTTTTTCTGATGGCTTGCATTGGGTTTGTCTTTGGCCATGTGCTGGAGTCTCCCAGCTTCCTGAGCATACAAACATCTCCTGGTTTTCTATCTTGGTTTCATTTCAAACCATGTGCTAGAGTTTTTTGGATATTTTCTAAACCACTTGGGCTATTTGGGCCTTCCTAAGGTGATGGGTTAGTGTATTTAAGGGAATGGGCCAACCTCCTAAGTGATGGACCATTTTTATTGAGATGATGAGCTAATTTTTCCTAAAGTATTGGGCTATTTCTCTCTTTTATGTTTATCAACATATTTGGGCTCAAGAAATGGGCTTGAGTTTTGGGGCTCCCAAGCAGCACAAAACTTCCATTTCTCGGCTCATCAATGAGCCTCATGAAAGCTCGTTACCATCCATACCACAACCCACTCAAGCAAGCCCCGGGCATTGGGTGGCTTGGGCCCACTTAAGCTTGTAGCGTGGCTGTGAATTAATGGTTCCCTGCTTGGCATGGCATGTTGTGTTTGAATTTTATCGTCTTTGACATGATGTTTGGTGGGGTAATTAGCATGGGCTTGTAGAGCCATTGCCTTTTATAGGCTCATTTTAATTCTTAGCGTGATGGATTGCATATTTATTTCACATGGCACGTTGTCGTGGCTTGTGCAAACGTGAATGACGAATTTTGCATGCTCTGAACCGGGTCTTTTCTTAACAAGGTGTCACACTGGGCCAAAAATTTATTTGGGGCCAACCCTAGATTTTTGGGCCTCAACAATGAGAAATGAAAGGATAGAGAGGATATGGATGATTGGTGTGAGTTGAGGCTATGGTTTTATAGAGAGATTTAGAAGATAGAGATAACACGTGACACAAGTGTAGCAACTAAAAATCTTATTCGAAATATGAGATGTGAATTTTATAATAAATATAGACACGTGGGCAATCGAAAATCTTATTTGAAATATGAGATGTGAATTTTATAATAAATATCGACACGTGACAATCGAAAATCTTATTCTAATTAATCGTTTAATTATAAAAAATAAAATTAATTTAAAGTGAAAAGTAATTGTCCTTTGCCATGACAATGAGTGGAAACTCAACAAAAAAATTATAAGGACGTGCACTATTCTATGAATAGTAGTAGCCATTGCATTTTGTCATGACAAATGGATGAAAATGCTCTTAAGTGCTCAACAACTTTACAACACATTTTCAAATGTGAGATTGGACATGTATCACAATTTTTTTCCCCCACAGATTTTTTCCCCTCCTAACCCAAAAAAAAACAAAAAAAAACATTTCCCCTTGGTTGTTAGTTTCAAGTTTAATCTTAACCACACATAGTATCATAGGACACTTGATTCATAAAAGAGGTCGGTTGGATCACGGGTTGACCCGTAAAGCACCATAACCGTACCCGGCAGGAATAAGGGAATGAGAGCCTCCACAATCTCGGTGATATATAATGTCGTCGTTGCGAAACATTTCGGGTTTTTTAGGGTTTAAGTCCGAAGACATCTCAAACTCAAACCACACTGCACTGTACGAAGCATGACTGCCCAAACTCAAGAAGAGCAGCTCGCTGCCCAACTCGAACAGCAAAAAATTCATGTAATCTCTCTCTCTCTCTCTCTCTCTCTCTCTTTCACGTTACATGTTCGTTCGCAGTTTATCAACGGTTTCAATTGAGTAGAGGCTTGTGATATGTGATAGTTCTCTGGATTGGCTTATCCCTTCTGGGTTTTCTTTTATTTATTGTTTCGGAATGTTGATATTGCCTGGATTTGTTTTTTTTTGTGGGTATAATCATAAATTAGCTGATCTTTTCTGCTAGCTGATCTAGAAAATGATTTGGAAAGATTTTATGGTTGGAGTGTGATTTTTTTTTGGTTATATTTTGCGTTTTAGCTGCTATGGTGTTGAATTTCCAATAAATATTTCCAATGGATCGATGAATGCGAAACACATTTATACATAGTGAACTTAACTACTACAGACCTAAAAGGGTTTAATTTTGATGTAATATTATTTCCTTGTGATCAGCCTTTAGAATTAGTTTTGTATCCATTTTAGAGGGGATGTGATCCAGTTTACCGTGCTTTTTTTATTTTATTATTATTATTATTTTTTCTGCTTATGTTTTAGTTATGTAGTAGCTATTGGGGTTGCTTGGAAACCTTTCCTTACAGCTTGGAGAAACAGATATACTGCTGACCTTTGAGTTTTCATTTTTAGTTTCACTTGTATCATTGTTTCTTCTTTAATACTTTGGTTGGTGAAGGTTGATTTTTTTGGTTATCAGCTGGGTGATTCTTAATCAGCCTTCCATTTCACACTGCATCAGCCATTTGCAAAAATGTGAACCGAAATTTGACTTTATATGATTTGCTTCTGATTAAATTAAGACGACTGAGGTTTGAATCAATGGGGTGTGAGAAGAAGGGTCAAGGGAGAACAACTAGAACTGTCTGATGCATCAGATGATGTGAGGAGCTTCTGTTCTTATTTCTCTAGCACTTGAGGTGAACTCTTGTTTTGAGTTTGATATTGCATGGGTGGTTTCAGACCTTCGTTTGATTGGGAGGTCTATAATTGATTCTTGCCCAGCCAAAGAAAGAAAACCTAATTGAGGACATAGGTTTTGTAAGGGTTCAGTCATTCACATAGATCGGCATATGGTTACACCTAACATTAGTGTTAATATTAGTAGGTCAAAATGTGGCATTATTTAGCTAAATATTAAGAATTGAGGAATGGAATGATCATGGAGGATCCTTGAAACATTTTTGAACCTCAAAATGCTGCATTAAAATTGCATGGATTTAGGTTTTTTTTTGTTTTGGTTCCCTTAGAATTTTGGCCTCTCAAATTAAGGAATCATGGAAGTGTGGGTTTTCTTACGTGACATAAAGAAGCATTTTGGGAAGTGAACACTTCTGTGTTTAATCAGTGCCCATTAAGAACTCGGTTTGGATAATCGAGATTGGTCAATCTCTGATTGTATCTTATTGAACTTTCAAACTTTGCTCATTACAAGACATTTTACCTCTTGCCTGTATTCCATTAACTGGAGTATGTTACCTCAGTTGATGCTTTCAAGCAGATAGCATGTTTATCTGGTTAGGTTTAACAGGCATGTTTATTTATCATTTTAATCTTTTGTCCGGATTAAGACAATCTTGTTGGCCGAATTAGTGGCCTACTATTGTGATGTCAATTGTGAACTGTAAAATATTTCACAGTAGATCACTAGTCTAAGTTGGTATTTTCAATTAGTGGGAGAAAGAATGTGATGCTCAATTCACTCAATACCCATTGGACTTGGCTTATCTTGATTTCCAATTGACTAGTCTCATAGGTTCATAAAGTTATATGTTTAACTTGTTTGGGTACTAATTTGTCATGTTTATGTGCAATATATGAGTGTTTTAGTTATGTCTTTTCCTACTATAGTTGTTAACCTTCTGCTGATGTTTAGTGGTGGAGAATAGCAAATGTATTCTTTTGCTAGAGTTATCATTCAATACATTATCTAGGATGCTTCACCTTTTCTTTGTTGGGCAAGAAAGTTTGATTGGCATTTTGTGTAGGATGATGAGCCCGTAGTTGAAGACGAAGATGATGAAGATGATGATGATGATGAAGATGATGACAAGGATGATGATGATGTGGAAGGTAAAGTGCACATTGAAAATGTTAATTTTTGTTTTTTCTTTAACCTTTTTTTTATTTAAGCTTCTCTGCATGCGCTTTTTGTACCAAGATGGACATACCCAAAACTGCCCCATAACATTACCCTTTCTTTCCAATTTATACTCACTCATTTATATATTTCTTTTGAAAGATTTTTTATTCTTTATGCTCACATTCATTTATTGCATCATTCATATTAAATATTTTTTTTATTAGTTTGACAATGAATTTAGGAACAAAATGTACATAATCTAAGTAATGCGGACATAGATGTTTGATACTGAAGTATCTGACATTTTTTCTTATATGCCAATATGTAATAAAAAATTCGCTCTTTAAACATGTCTATACTATTGCACTATTCACCTAACCCCTTATGAATAAAACATCAAAGTTTCACGGAAAGATAAGATAAAATTTGTAGTGCCCGAAAAAAATTAAGGGAATCAATCTGAACAAGGAAATCACAGAGACAACTAGAATTCCAAAATCAAACACTACATAGAGTTTGTAAGTGAAATGAAATTGCAGATAAATGATACACCTGTTCTTCGTTGTGTCATCTAGAAATGAAAGATGACATGATTGTACTGAAAGTTGGAGTTTTTCTTGTCGGTTTATACTCAAATGAATAGTTAAACCGAGAAAATTGACTGAAGGCCATTCATCGGTATTTGTCCTTTTCAACAGATTTCAACAGATTTCTTTCTCCCATTTTTGTCCTTTTCAAATGGTAACAGTTCTACTTTAATAATTTTACTAGCCTACTTTAATAACTTTTTTTAATTTAAAAGATTGCTTTTACTATTTTATTCCTCATTAATTAAGTTGTATTATTTTAGAATTCTAATTAGCAAAGGATATTTCTTGGTATTTTGAAAGTTATACCAAACTCTGCCTCTGCCTTTATATATATAGATTAGGTAGAAAACTTTTTAGGCAATCTGAGCAGCATATTTGAATTTAAGTATTAATTTTATTATGTTTTTGATAAAAAAAATATTAGTTTGATTAGGGGATTGAATAATCTTTCCATTAACATAAGTAGAAGCCATGGGTAAAAAAGGTTGTGTTGCTGTCTTCAATGCACCATGCAGTGTTTTTTTCTCTATGTTTAGCTTGGCCTCTCTCTTGTTCGGGTTATGATTTTCTTTCTGGGCAGAAATATGCCAATAATTATCTGGTTGTGTGACTGAAAATTTAAAAAATTAAAGATATAAGAGTGTTGAATTTTTGGTAAATTTTTTCAACTGAATGGTTTGGTTTAGCTGAAGAGCCCACCCTGAGAGACGATAATTCTGGCTCTGGTCCTTGCTGCTATAAAAAATGGGGGGTGGGTTGGAGGGAAGTTCTACATTATATCTTGTATAGTCAATGTAAATATGGGTATAAATTTTTGTCTAAATGTCACTGGCAGGACAAGGAGATGCAAGTGGTAGGTCTAAGCAGAGCAGAAGTGAAAAGAAGAGTCGCAAGGCAATGTTGAAACTTGGAATGAAGCCAATACCAGGTGTCAGCCGTGTGACTGTCAAGAAGAGCAAGAATGTTGGTGTTGATTTGTTGCATTTTTTAAAATTTTTTGTTTTGATTGCAGTGTCCTGGCTTATATGAGATTTATGCATATGGTTAATGTTTTTATCTTTGTTCTTGCAGATTCTGTTTGTTATCTCAAAGCCAGATGTTTTTAAGAGCCCCGCATCTGATACGTATGTCATTTTTGGGGAAGCAAAGATTGAAGATTTAAGCTCACAACTTCAAACTCAGGCTGCGGAGCAGTTCAAGGCTCCTAATCTAAATACTGTGACAGCAAACCCTGAACCATCAACATTGGCTCAAGATGATGAAGATATAGATGAAACTGGTGTGGAACCCAAGGACATAGAGTTGGTGATGACACAAGCCGGGGTTTCAAGACCAAGAGCTGTTAAAGCACTCAAAGCAGCAGATGGAGACATTGTTTCTGCCATTATGGAATTAACAAACTGAGCCACCTTCTCTGCGAAACTTTACATTTGTTTTTTTTTTTTTTTTTTTTTTTTTTTTTTTTTTGGGGCCCCAGTGCTGTCTACTTGAGAATTTGAGATTTAAATTTCGAATGTCTTTGTTTCTTTAATCCTTGTACCGGTATGATATAACTCTGATGGTTATGATGTATGGTTTGGATGTCCTTGCATGTAGTGCATTGCACCTCATCATTTATACAATATCATCTTGCATATCAGTTGCTCAGCATGCTTATAATCAGTGGCGCTACATGTATCCCGTTGTGGTAGATTGTACTTTTGGTGTGATGTATGAAATACCAGGGTTGGGGGTTATTATCTAGGCTTGAGATTTCTTGTACCCAATTACCTTGTGCCCTCCCAGTCTCCTATCTACCGTTTTGACACCTGTCCGTGAACTGCTTGTTTGGTAGAGATTATAGATGGACTGACAATCACTTGCGTTTCTCCATATAATGATTTAAGTGATTTTATGAAAAAGCAGCTTGTTTGTTTGGGTGTGATTCCGGCCCTCCAAAATTCACTTCCAAAAAGATCATTATTGATTAATTGATCAATTTATGTTTTTAAAAAAAAATATAGATGGACCACGTCACCTATCTAAGGGAGTCTCGAGTGTGGATGGGTGACATGATCCACCCACCAGCCAGACCCAAGATTTTCTCCGAGTAGGGGCCAGAAGCTGGCTTCAGTCGATCCTTGCCGCGGCCTCTGTTTTAGCGTGCGAGCTAGCTTACTAATTTAGTAGCCTAGACAACCATGTGTTGGATGATCATCATCCCCGAAACTTGCATTGAAAGGGAAAGCCCTGATATTCTACCGAGTTGGTGGAAACATAATTTTAATTTCAATCACTACATTTTGAGCTTGAAGAGCCCTCTGCTTTTGCATTTGTGAAGATTCAGATTTGTTACATACTCGAGGATGAATGTACAACTGGATTTTGTGCTTGAAGATAGACCGCCATCGTCTTCCGAATTCATGTATTGAGCACTGATAACACCTGTATCTGAGAATATTGAATTGTTTTTCGTACGGTGGAAATTGGTAAAAGCGTAAGTCCACAACAAGTATATTTCCTCCACAGCAAGTTAGCAACCTTATGCTTTCTTGTAAAGGTAAATAAAATATTGCCAAAATGTTTATCTAAAAGGATAATCTCTTGAAGACATTAAATCATTCCATGGATCGCTTTCTGCCTTCACTTCTAATGGTTCAATTACTTGTGTTTCCAAGGCTTCACCAGCACTTACATCAGACGGTTTTGCTGCATACCTCCGTCTTTGCCTCCTCATCTTCCAAACTACCCCATCTTCCTCCAAGGGCCATTGCCATCATCTCGTATATCTTGTTTCCCAATTCAGCTGGGCTCTCTTGGCATCTGTGCTGTCAGGGGCGTTCTTGCAAGCAGCCTGCAGTAGAAAACAACTGTCAAATCCAGAGAATTTTTTTTGGCCAAGCGTTAGGGAGGGGGAGTAAAGCATTGGTTTGGGTTCCTCAAGATTGCACACTACCAAGTTTCGAACCCAGGTGCCGTGTTGGGGTGGGGGAAGGGGATCACTAGAACCACTGCAGCACAACCCCACTGGCATCCAGAGATTTCTTTTTTAAGTCCTGTACTTCCACGTCTTGTATTTTTCTACCAATAGTTTGCAAACCAAATTTTCTATACCAACATTGTTCCCCTACTGCACTACCACCAAAGTTGGCAGGACAGATCCCTCAATATCTTTCTGAACCAACTTTTCCAAGAATCGAGCACTTTTCAGACTGTCTGCTGCCAAGTAATAGATTGCATTCTGGTTCTCAGGCATGTTCTCAACATAATCATCTAAGCTAATCAGTTATTCCTCACTTTTTGAATAGTAGAACCGCAACAAGGGGGTTATGAACTTGTGATTTCCTGAGTCCTCGATGCATCCTAACTATAGAAACCTGCCAAAGTTCTCCCATAAGTTCTTGTAATCCTGGGATCAAGTAATACCATTTTCCAAGTTAATAACAATTTTCAGCCTTTCAGGTGGAATCGAAGAGAAAACACAAGCTTAATTGCTGCCACCAACCTCTCTATTTTCACTCTCAGAGATCTCTTGAATCATGTCAAATGTTTTCCGTATGAGTTGCTTTCTCATAATCCTTACCTGAAAATAGTAGATAGATAGACTAAGAAATAATACAATACAACCTGATACAAATATCTAAGCACATAAAAAGAACAAAAGAACAAATATTAACTGCTACAGAGATGTCCACAAATTTTATTGCATTCCCTTCACAAAATGCAAAAAGATAGTAGAAAAACTAGGGCTTACTATTCGACTTTCTTGAAGAATCTCTTGAGAAACATTTAGAGGAAGATCATTCGAATCCACCACACCCTTAACAAAGCTTAGGTGTCGAGGAAACCGCTAAAAGAATAATTCAATGTATTACAGCAACAAACCATATGTCCAAGCAAATAAGCACCAACCCCAAAATGTATTTTGAACATTCCAGATGGCACATCACTAATTGAATACCATCAATGCCTACAACAGCTAAAAAACTCCATTGTTGATGATGGATAAAACAACACTTCTTTTGATTAGAACATGTAATAACTACAGTGAGTATTAAGCAATACTTCATTTTCCAATTTAAATACAGAATAAACAGTCAACACCAGCATTGTTAATAATACACCAATCATAAAATAAATCACACAAAAGGAAACTTAATGTGCAACAGTATTTGCAACAAAGATGATCACCACTGACATGAAACCAAAACAACGAACTAAATGGAAGCTCAAAGTCACATGGTTTCCAATATATCAAAGCTTACCACTTCACCATCAAAATCATCTGAGATAAATATCCGTTTCACATACAAACATATATTCTTTGTTTTTGCATTGACAACATCCTTGTTGTTAAGAGGCCCCATTCCAGGAATATAAAGAACACTCCTGAACTCCACCTCACCCTGTGCAGATTTCAAAGTTAAACTCTAAATCTGCTACATTTTCTACCTCAACCAAATTATTAAAACAAAACACAACAAGACAAAGGGAGAGAGACCATTTTAGTACCTCAGTGGTGAAGTGAGTGTATGCAACTGGATCCAAGAGCTCACTACAAGTTTTCTTGTAAAATTCATGGCACTCATCTTTTCAACTTCCTTTGGATTCCGCATCTGCACCAGAACAAAACAAAATTAATTTTAAAAAAGGCTAATAAAATATATAACAAGAAAATACATGCACAATAGGCAAACGGGCCATGCAGAATCTAAAATACATTTATGACATCAATAACGCTATGTCTTCAACTTACCCATACGCTTTGTTTCATTGGCTAATTCCCAATCCCAATAATTCTCAGTTTTTGTCTTATTTTTTATTTCACCCTGGTAACAATCAAAGTAACTTATTACACTGTAAAAGTTACTGAGAAAAAACTATATTTCCCACAATTAGGAATCCTATGTCTCTGGCTTTGGTTCTTCCTCATTTTCCACCTGCCAAAAGTTTCCACTCAGTGAGGATTCACAAAACTGCTAATTGCTTCATCATATGAACAACAGATACTTCTTAATCATATAACTGTAAGGTATAGAAGAAATGTAGCCTCAATGATTCGTTGGCAATAATCAACCGATTTTGATAAAAGTTTGCACCTCAGAGAGTCACATTTTGACAACAATACTTTTCTGATTATCACCTATAATGTACACTTGACATGCACCTTCAACTAATAAAGAAGTAACAGTCCAATCATTAAGGAAAAGATGAATCACATGCAGAAATCCAATTCTATTAATCCCTTCAAAACTTGCCCCTTGCCATATAGAGGGAACGGGTATGACAAGCAGAAAATGAAGTCCCCACCTCAACAGTCCTTGATTTTTTATTTCCATGTAAAGATTGGGGAAGGAAACAAACTGCAAGTAATTCTTCAGCAAACCCTGGATCTGGGGCGGATCTGAGAATTCATACTTGTCATCCGGCTGCAAGGAGAGATATAACTTTGAGATAGTTTGTATAAGACATCAGAATAAATTGAAAAATAAGCAATGAACTGTCCCAACAAAAGATAATGACTTTAATGTGTCAACATCTAGCAATAGCTGGACACAACTTCAATGCCCAATAAACAAAAAGTCACATGCAAAATGACCAAATCCCATGAAAAGAGAAATGAAGTAGCAGGTATGGTACCCTTAAATAGAGGGTGATCTGTGTTCCATGGCGTATGGGATTTTCAGGATCAGTTTCTTCCCTAATTACATAAGAGAGCTATTGCCTGCATCTCCAAGCAGAGAGGGGTTAGCCACACTCAAAAATCTCAACTTGTCCAAAGCATGACTAGCATTACTGGAACAGGAAAGAAAAATACAGTCAACATATGGGCCAAATAATAAGGCGCATGCAAAATGCATCATAATGAGCATAAACTGTCCTCTGGAAAACAGTAGTATACGACCTAATGTTATTATGAAAGAACTAGGAAACTGTTTTGACTTAGTCATTTCTGGAAATATAGTATTTATTCGTTCATTTTTATGAGAGAATGGAGATATATGAATATAATGTTATACCTCATGAACTGAATTTGTCTAATATGAGCCAGTGAACCGCTTTTCGCAATGGTCAGATGCCAAAAGATTCCCCATGTTAATCATGAAGAAAGCCAAGTTTGAACATCTCGGCTAGAAGATCAGCGACTGAATTAAGATCACCACGATGACAAAAAGTATTCAGCATCACCTCACACAGTTCTTGATCAGGACAAATCCCATCAGATAACATCATACAGAAAAAATATTTTGCATCAGTTATCAGGCACCTTTTGCACAATCTATTAATAACAGCACTATAACCCCGAATGGAGATTTCAAATCCTTTCTCCACCATTTGATGGAAGAGCCCCACTGCCCTATGTACATCATCCTTTGCACAATGTGCCTTGATCAACGTGGTATAAGCAACTTTTGTCAAATTGATATTGCAGTCACAAAGAGAAACCAGTAGCCTGTCAGCATCCATTAGGTCGCCATATACACAAAGACCATTGATGAGAACATTATATGTAACAGGAGTAGGCTCAAGATTATGAATCAACATCTCATTGTGCAACTGAAAAGCTTTCTTGAAGTCTCGAGCTTTACAGAAACATTTTATCAGAGTATTATATGTGATTTGATCTGGGGTTATGCCCTTAGCATACATTTCCTCAACTAAGTGAACAGCCTCCTGCAGCTTCCCCAGTTTGATAAGTCCTTTAATAACTACCGTGTAAGATACATGAGTTGGTTCTATAGCATTTGCTTCCATCTCCTGAAGCAACTCAAGCATGCCATGGATGTTTCCTCGTTCAATGTTGGCATCCATAATAGTATAAGTAAATGGACTTGGTAGCAATCCAAACAGCTTGATGGTATCCAACATCTTATGAGCCTCAACTAGTTTCCCAGTTTTGCAGAAACCATAAATAAGAGTATTGAAAGTGACAATACTAGGATTTATTCGCTTTTCAATTATTTGTTTATACAATCGCGTGGCTTGTGCAATGCTACCTATTTTGACATACCCATCCATCATAATATTATACAGCACAATAACCTCTGTCACATCCCTTTTTAGTAGATTATCAAAATGCTTCCTTACCTCAGATATATCCCCTTTCTCATGCAGACCTAAGAGAATAGAACGGTGTACAAAGTAATTGGGAATGATTCACTTCATGTACATTTCTCTATATATTTTGCTAGCCCTCTGAACATCTCCTTTCTTGCATAGGCCATGAATGAGGATAGAATATGTTATAAGATCTGGTTCCAAGCCAACAGCTTCCATCTCATATAGCAATCTCAATGCTTCTACTACTCGTCCACTTTTACACAAACTTCTGAGGAGTACACTGTATATACTGACACTCAACTGAAAACCCCTTGAAAGCATCTCTTCCTGCAACTTAAGGGCTTCCTCAATATTTCCAGCATGGCAGTGCCCACATATCAAAATTGTATATGTCACATGATCCGGACTTATTAACTCTTTAATCAACATTTTCTGAATGACCTCGTGAGCTCCATTCATCAAACCAAGTAGATGAAACCCCTTACAAAGAATGTTGTAGGTGACTGTGTCAGGCTGTACCCCATGCCTCTCCATGTCTTTAGTGAACTCCAATGCTTCTTCCAATGAAGCCGCTATACACTGCCCATGAATAAGAATATTATAACTGTATGAATCAGGAAGTAGTCCACACTTGAACATCAAACAAAAAAACGACTTTGCAACATCCACAAACCACAATTTACAGAACCTAGACATGATGGTATTGAATGAAACAACTGAAGGCCAACTCTCCGTATTTTCCACACCCATGAAGAACGAAACTGCATCTTGTAGGCCGGATTGCTCACATAATCCATCTATAAGTATGTCAAAAGTGTGGTCACTCTGATGAGTTCCACGATCTTTAACTTCATTATAAACAATCCACATGATATCTGTATGCTTTAAGTTATGCAACAGACAGTTGTAGGTTGGTGTTGAAATGTTCAAATTCAGATCTTTCATCTTAACAATAACAGACAGAGCATCATGAATCATCTCAGATCTTGAATAAGCAAACGCCAACATATCCCACACCACACCACTCGAATCCCAGTCCCTAAATCTATTTAAGAGCAGCTCACAAAGTGAAGGTGCCGAACCAGGGCCTATCACAAATCACAAGAAATTTATAAACAAAACATTGAGCAAAAATAAAGAACAAAAGCAATGAAACGATTAGGCTTCATCCATTTCTCAGCTAGCCCCAATGCATCTATGAGCCTTACCTAATCTCATAAACCAAGCCACAATCTATAATAAAAAGAAAGTACTTAAAATGAAATGATTAGGCTGACTCCAGGTTGGTCTCTTTTTGCTCATCTATGCTTGGTCTCTTTTTGGTTTTTTAAGTACTTTCTTTTTATTATAGATTGTGGCTTGGTTTATGAGATTAGGTAAGGCTCATAGATGCATTGGGGGCTCACTGAGAAATGGATGAAGCCTAATCGTTTCATTGCTTTTGTTCTTTATTTTTGCTCAATGTTTTGTTTATAAATTTCTTGTGATTTGTGATAGGCCCTAGTTCGGCACCTTCACTTTGTGAGCTGCTCTTAAATAGATTCAGGGACTGAGATTTGGGTGGTGTTGTGTGGGATATGTTGGAGTTTGCTTATTCAAGATATGAGATGATTCATGATGCTTTGTCTGTTATTGTTAAGATGAAAGATCTGAATTTGAACATTTCAACACCAACCTATGAGCTTTCATCATCCACCATTTGCTTTACAACCAAACACAGCTCTTTAAACAGCCTTCTCCTCGCTAACACATGAGCAACAATAAACTCTGAAACCGTGGAATGCCAAAACCCATACTCATTACTCAAAAGGTTGAAGAAACTGAAAGCTGACTCCAGGTTCTCAATGCTCAAGTTTTCAATAATCAAATCCACCTGAGGCTGATTCAAAGTCGGGATAATGGTTTTGAAACGATGATTTTATTGTAAAAGAAGTAATGAAATTTTATTGTAAAGACGTTAAGGGGCCATGGATACCTAAATATAGGCAAATTTTATTTTATGGTAAGAAAAAAAATCTATCAAATTACAAAATGAAGTATATCCACTAGACAGATTGTCCACCAAAACAATACATCAACATAACAGGAACATAAAAAACAAGATTAGAGAGAAAACAGTACTATTTCTCACAATTGGAACCCCAAAAAGAGATTAGACTGCACAGCTGCTTTCCAATCTGGATGACATGGTTAACACAACATGACAGTACCCCAAATATCAGCAAAAAACGAAAGAATATATTGCAATCTTTCAGATTTCTTCTAAAGAAACTAACTCCTAAAGCTGAGAAAACTAAAAATATGTAATAAATGAGAAAATGGAATAGTACAAGGAGGCCATCCAGAAGAAAAAAATTATCACAGAAGTTGTAGTATTTTTTGTATTTACTGCTAGCTTACTTCAAAAATGAATTGACTTATTGGTTAATAGAAAATGTGATTGTTACCTGAACCATTCACACCAAAGAATCATACACAGCAGTGTCACCATGAGGATGAAATTTTCCTAGAACCTGCATCAAATCATTATATATTTAAAACCTAAATATAAAATACTGGGGATTCATACAAAAGAACACAGAAAGCCTCTGATTATTAACCTCTCCAACAACTCTAGCACATTTCTTGATCGGTTTTCGCAACGCAAGCCCCAATTCATGCATTGCGTACCTGTAGTTTGGGAAGAATACAGAATATGAAATCCTCCTAAATTTGACTAATGAGCATTCTCTATGTCAAAAATTCATAGGTTTTTAGTTCAAATTTTATCAGGACGGAACCAAACGATCAAATAAGCAAATATCACTCACAAAATAGCTTCAGTGGGTTCCTTGTGGAGCTCAACACGCACCATTGTTTCTTCGCTGCTCTCACTTGTGTCCTTGACCAGCACACTCCCATTTCCATTTTGCCCTTCGCTTGGAGCCTCCTTTTGGGCCGAGGATGATGCTGATAGGAAGCGGAGCTCCGACAGAGGAAGAAAAGCAAAGACTGGAAGCTAAGGCCATGCTAAGGGCATAGGGCTAAAGGTGCCATGCCATTTGGGGTTTTTGGGGTTTCATTTCACCACAATCTAAAACCCTGGTTTTGCGATTGCCCTTGGAATTTGGAGGCCTCTTGCGCGCCAAGATGTGTGTGGGTTTTTGGATTGGATGCACAGCACGTGACTTTCTTGGCTAAAAGTGGGTACAGATCACGTGCTAAAAGGAAATGTCAAGTAATTGTATCTGAAAGCTTCTTACACCAAACTAGGGTTGGTGATCAAAATCGGAATACTGAAACCGTGCCGAACCGTGCCTATGAGAGCAAATATTTCCGTCTCCAATCAAGGCACGCCACGTGGAAAAGAAGATTATCTCTTAAATTAATTAATTGAACCAGTTTATCTGGCCAATTAAATTAATAGTAAATTTAAGTTTTAGCCATAAAAAAATTTTCACTTTTGGAAAAAGCCAAAGCTTTTTCAAAAAAGACAAAAAACCTCTCAACTTTCAAATCAAAGACATGCAAGTGTAAATGATTTCTTAGGAAATCCAAAAATAAATAAGGGCAAATTTATCCATTTTGGCTTCTTTTACAAAATTTCTTTCTCCTTTGGGTTTTTCCAAAGTCTCCCTTAATTAATTGGGATAAATATCTTAATTAATGTGATATTATCTTTATTTAATGAGATAATACCATTAATTTAGATATTATTATAATAAAGAGAAGATAATATCATTAATTCAGATATTATCTTCATAAAAAGAGATAATATCGTTTAATTTAGATATTATCTTCAATAAAGAGAAGATAATATCATTAAATTAGATATTATCTAAGTTCGATTCGATCCCTACAAATTTGGGTAGGGAATAAATTCAGCATATTCTCTACGAAACCCTAGCCCCGAGGCTCCTATAAATAGGATATTTCATTCATCATTCAAGGTACATCTAAACCTTCTCCAGAACCCGAGAAAAATACCTGAAGCTCTCTCTCCCTCTCCATTCTCTATATTTTCTCCACACGGCTCCGGCCGCCCGGTTCATACCATACATAAACTCCATACCCTTCGCTTAGCTATTGTTTTCCTACAAACACTCGAACTAACTTAGGCATCGGAGGGCCTTTGGCCAACACCCCCCCGGGTGTGGTCTATTTACTCCAATCTTTTTTACAGGAATTGAGGAAGAGAGAGAAGGAAGATCGAAGGTTGAAGGATCTAGAAGCGAATATTCTCCCGTGAGATTATTTGCACAAACATTTGGTGCTTTCATTGAGAGCACGAGTTATACTCAACGCGTGCTCAAGGAATCCGTTCCTCCTATTTTCCAATCCACCGAAGCCTTCCAAACAACCATGGTTGGAAGCAAACGCCTTAGGAGCAAAACTGCCGCGATGACTCAATCCGTGACGGCCCAAAGCCACTTCACCCATGATCCCGTGATCGACATGGTGGCACCACCACCTCTCACCACCGTGCTACCTACCGAACTCGCAGTTGAGACCACCGCACTGGCCACCGCCGCCGAACATGGTGGAACCTCCCATCAAGGTGGGCTCGTTACCACCACTGACTTAGACCTGGTCTTGGAGCAACTTCAAGCATTCCCTCCATTGTCTCCACGCTCGACGCACGCTCCTGCATACACCTCCAATGAAACCCTAGCCCATGTGCATTTGGGCTCCACACACTTCTCTCCTCCCAATCCACGAAGTCAAGCAGATCTTAATATGAGAGTTGACCAGTTAGCTTAGAGGATGGACGACCCAAACCAATATGATGAGGCAGCTCCTCCACCAAATAAACTTGGTTCAAAACCTTGACCTTGGACAACCGGGCGAAGAGAGGAGGATGGATGAACGCACCGATCAGCAGCTCGATGGGTACCAAACAGGTCGAGCAGGAATGGGCAGACAAGGAGAGGGAAAACAACGTGATCAGCTTGCCAGCATGTCACAAGCATCTGCAAGCCACACACAAAGCAATGTACGAGAAAGACTCGGCCCACAACTTGCCATCCACGCGCACCTAGGCCCACAGAGAAATATTCACGAAAAGCTAGGCCCCCAGGGAGGTCAACCTGGCAACTCGCACAATGAGGACCATGAAGAAAGGCACTCCACTGACCGCTCTCGAAGAACCAATTCTCATCGCCAAGTTACAGAAAATCCATCGCAAGCACAGTCCACCAACACGCCGCATAGGCAGAGCAGCCAAGAAGGTCAACCTTTGCAAACCAACGAGGAAGTTACTTGGTCTCGCCCAAATTGTAAAGGTCGTCAACGTGACCGACTAGCCATGTGTGCAGAAGACATTAAGAAGCTTGTGAATAACCGACTTCGAGACTTAAAGATTGGTGGAAATTTCGAAGATGCACTACGTGTTGAGGTAAACCGAGCAAACTCGTCACCTTTCACCGTCAAAATTGAGCAGGCTGTTCCCCCGAAACGATTCTCAACGCCCTCTTTTACATGTTTCAAAGGCGATTCCGGTCCCGAAAGCCATCTGAAGCATTTCAAGAGCCTTATGATCCTCTACAAAGCCGAAGACGAGCTAATGTGCAAGGTGTTTGCAATGACTTTGCAAGGAGCAGCTCAGGACTGGTTCCACACCCTGCCATCCGGGTTGATCAGCAGCTTCAAGGAGCTTGCTTATGTCTTCATTAAAGAATACACTTCTTATCGGACGATCAATAAGAACCCGGACCATCTGTTCAACCTGCACAAGAAGTCTGATGAATCCCTCCGAAACTACATCAAGAGGTTCAAAGCGGAGAGGGCAAACATTGTAGGATGTGATGACCAAATTGCGTCATCTGCCTTCAAAAGGGGGTTGCCAACTGAATGTGAGCTGTATCGCGAGCTGACCATCTCTCCTTGCCAAACACTGGTAGAAGTCTTCACAATAGCAGAGCGCTACGCACTATGGGAAGATGACCGGATCGCCATGAATAAGGCTGATCAAGTAGCTGAGCAGGCAAGCCAAGAGAACGGCAAGCGCAGATCACAGCCTCAAGAAGGTGCTTTAGCAGCGGAGAGCTACACCAAGTTCACTATCCCGATACACCAGATCTTGGCCCAAGTAAAAGACATGCCTTGGTTGAAGAAACCATTGCCTTTAAAGGGAAACCTAACCAAGAAGGATACCAATAGATACTACACATTCCATGAAGGGCATGGTCATTACACAAACGACTGCTTCGCCTGGAAAAGGCACCTTGAAGATCTAGTCAGAGACGACCATTGCACGGAATTCATCGCAAGGAGGGCTATCCAGCAAATCAAGGATTGTGACGCAGCTAACGATGAACCTCCACGAAAAAGGTCATATGGATCAACACGATCCTAGCTAGCTCCAAAAGCCCAGACTGACCACCAGGGGGCAAAAGAGAAAGATCAAGCAGGCGACTTCCGTCTCCCAAGCCGTCACTAGCTGCCAAGTTGTGGAAGACGAACCTTTCATCATCTTTCAATGAAAGGAAGTTCTAAGACAATAAATACCCATCACCTCCAAGGGTACTATCCATGAAGCTCTTCACCTATCAGCTCGACTCTAAGCAGGCGACCAAGCCTTCCTCACCTCCATTGAAGACAAGTTACTTTTGATGTTACTCATGCACTCATCTTTTTTGTTTAATAAGGCAATGTAGTCACATAGACATCAATACAAGTTCAAGCTTTTCTTTCCAATGAAGTATTCACAAAAGCAATCGACACGTCTCCGGACGTAGGCCAAACGGGCCACTCTCATCGACACGTCTCCGGACGTAGGCCAAACGGGCCACACTCATCGACACGTCTTTGGACGTAGGCCAAACGGGCCACTATCATCGACACGTCTCCGGACATAGGCCAAACGGGTCACACACATCGACACGTCTCTGGACGTAGGCCAAACGGGCCACTCTCATCAACACGTCTCCGAACGTAGGCCAAACGAGCCAGTATCATTGACACGTCTCTGGACGTAGGCCAAACGGGTCACACACATTGACACGTCTCCGGACGTAGGCCAAACGGGCCACTATCATCGACACGTCTCCAGACGTAGGCCAAACGGGCCCCTATCATCGACACGTCTCCGGACGTAGGCCAAACGGGCCACACATCATCGACACGTCTTCGGACGTAGGCCAAACGGGCCACTCTAATCGACACGTCTCTAGACGTAGGCCAAACGAGTCACTATCATTGACACGTCTCCGGACGTAGGCCAAACGAGCCACACACATCGACACCTCTCCGAACGTAGGCCAAACGTGCCACCATCATCGACACGTCTCTGGACGTAGGCCAAACGGGCCACACACATCGACACATCTCCGGACGTAAGCCAAACGGGCCACTCTCATCTACACGTCTCTGGACGTAGGCTAAACATGCCACAACCCAGCATGCAGAACACTCCTCCTATCCAGCAGGCAAATCATCAGGATCCGGACCATTCTGCTTTCATCCCTTGACATTCTCGGCAGGGGGCGGACCATCGTCTTTCTCTCAATACTCGCTCAGCATCAACTAGCGGCCATCGTCGCTCTAACCTTCTTCGACTGCCAGTCACGATGTCACCCAGCTGGTCATTGCCTCGAAAAAGAGAAGACGAAGAAAAATATACGTGCTCGACTTACCTTGGGATGCACGACAACTCCTCTCTTCGACAAGCAGTACAAATTCTCCAAGATCTTTCTCAAGCTAGAAAGTAGAGAAGTTAAGTTTGCAATGTAAGAAAAAGTGAAGAGAAGCCCTGTATTTGTACAAGTTGGACAACTCAGGTCAAGAAGGAATCGCAAGCTCATTCCTACTAGGAATCCAACTCCAAGAACAGTCAGAAGCCTACGCCAATTAGTAATTCGATCTTCAAAAAAGCCCAGACACAGTTGGAGAGCTCGAAAAAATAATTTCATCTCCTACATGCCACACAAGTGCCATGCAGAAGCTGGGGGGCATTTGTGAGAGCAAATATTTCCGTCTCTAATCAGGGCACGCCACGTGGAAAAGAAGATTATCTCTTAAATTAATTAATTGAACCAGTTTATCTGACCAATTAATTAATTGGGATAAATATCTTAATTAATGGGATATTATCTTTATTTAATGAGATAATACCATTAATTTAGATATTATCCTAATAAAGAGAAGATAATATCATTAATTCAGAAATTATCTTCATAAAAAGAGATAATATCATTAAATCAGATATTATCTAAGTCCGACTCGATCCCTACGAATTTGGGTAGGGAATAAACTCAACATATTCTCTACGAAACCCTAGCCCCGAGGCTCCTATAAATAGGCTACTTCATTCATCATTCAAGGTACATCTAAACCTTCTCCAGAACCCAAGAAAAATACCTGAAGCTCTCTCTCCCTCTCCACTCTCCACTCTCTATATTTTCTCCACATGGCTCCGGCCGCCCGGTTCATACCATACATAAACTCCATACCCTTTGCTTAGCTATTGTTTTCCTACAAACACTCGAACTAACTTAGGCATCGGAGGGCCTTTGGCCAACACCCCCCCAGGTGTGGTCTATTTACTCCAATCTTTTTTACAGGAATCAAGGAAGAGAGAGAAGGAAGATCGAAGGTTGAAGGATCTAGAAGTGAATATTCTCCCGTGAGATTATTTGCACAAACAGTGCCAATCTCATGTCGTTCCATTTGGTGTTGAAGTGTAAATGGAATGATACCGTATCGTCCCGTTACTGCTTGGCATGACACTGGTTCCAGATTTGTGATCCCGTTTGGCGCTATACCATACCGAACAATACTAGGTAAATAATAAATCCCAATTTTAATTCCTCCTATCCCACGAACATTCGACTCAAGCTTTGTTTCCTCCATCCTTTCCTTCCATCTATCTATTCTTCTCTTCTCTTCTCCTTTCTCAATCATCGATTTGAAACCGTAATTCCCAATCCTCCACCATCGATTGATCTCGTCTTCTTCTCCTCTCTCTCTCTCTCTCTCTCTCTCTCTCTCTCTCTCTCATTCATGTACGCCAGCATAATTCCCAAAATCCCTTCCGATTGCAATCGGATCCTCTTACTCTCCTCCTCTCTCTCTCTCTCTCTCTCTCTCTCTCTCTCTCTAGTATCTTCTTCTCCTCTCTCTGTCACACTCTCTATCTATAGTATTGGGCTTGATTTGTAAAACTTTGTAATTTTTTGTTATGCAAACAGGTTTTTTACGGTATAAAAAATGATACCGAATCATACCGGTCTCGTGTGGGGCCGGTATGGTTGAATGGTTTTTGAAAACCCCTCATCCCATCGTATCCCGTCCCGTCCTGATGCTTCTATCTAGGATTGCCACTGGGATGACCTCCATCTTGTGTCAACCCGTACCGTGCCTAGGCCTACACCAAACCATATAGGCCATTGGATGAGCAGTTAATGGATATGGGGTAATCCACACCATTAGTAGTTAGTCACCTATTTAACTAATTGTTACATGTTAAATAAAATAAAAGAAAAAAATAAAAAATAAAAATTGGAACGTGAAACACCTTCCACTGCTACCCTCTCTTCTTCGTGTTGGGCTTCTTGGTTAGAACTCCAGTAGACAATAGCTTGTTTGGTGGATATTAATTGGTCATGGTGAGTGTTTGTGCAAATTTCTCACGGGAGAATATTCGTGTGTAGATTCTTCACCCTTCGAGCTTCCTTCTCTCTCTTTCTTGGTTCCTGCGAAACAAATAGGAGTAAAGACCACATTTGTAGGGTGTTGGCCAAGGGGCCTCCGATGCCTAAGTTAGTTCGATTGGATCTTTGAGAAAAGATGCAGCAATAACTAAAATGGACAGAGTTTTCTCTCACGAGGAGAGTCTGGTGGCCTTAGCCTTGTGGGGGGGGGGGGGGGGGGGGGGGGGGGGGGCGGAGAGAGTGAGAGAGTGTCTCTCTCGTGTTTTAGAGCTAGGCTTTGAATTTCCTTGTATGTTGAATGTGGCCATGTATTTATAGGGCTCTAGCTATCTATGGTTTTTCAAAGAATAATTCCTATTTGGAAGGAAGATATCCCCAAAATAAGAAAATATCATAAATTGATTATTATATTCCCAAATGAAGATAATATCTTTATTTTTTGTCTTAATTAATTTGCCAAATAAATAGGCTCAATTATTGACCTATGTGATATTCTTCTTGATCATGTGGAGCCTTGTGATTGGTCGGTGAAGTATATGCTCCCACAAATGCCCCCCAGCTTATGCATGGTGCTTGTGAGGCATGGAGGAGATGAGAAATATTTTTCAGGCTTCCCAACAACATATGGGCTTTCTTCTTTTAGTTGGGCCCTGAATTGAAGTAGGCTTTTGACTTCATCTTGGAGTTGGGCTCCCAATGGGAATAGGCTTGTGATTCCTCCTTGACCTAGGATTCCTAACCTTTATAAATATAAGGCTTCTCTTCACTCATTTTCAAATTGCAAACTTCTTTTCTTTACTTTCTAGCTTGTGAGAGAGATCTTGGAGAATTGTACTGCTTGTCGAGGAGAGGAGTCGTCGTGCACACCAAGGTAGGTCGAATATATATATATATATTCGCAACGAAGATTGGTTGGCTTTGACTGGCCGGTTGTCACCGTGATTGGTGCCAATTGAAGCGTCGGTGGCTGTTGGTGGCAGTCGACGGGACCAGTTGGTTGCGTCACAACCTAGCTAAAAGGTTGCGGCATGGAATTGGGGTCGTGCCCTGAGGGGGGCTTGCGAGGCGGGTTGACACTGGTCTAGGCTTCGTTGCGGCCTGGGTGGGTATTGGCTGCTTGGACCACGCTTATTTTTATTTTTTTGTAGGCTTGGGCTGGAGCTACTTGGCTGGAGTTGTCGATGAGCTAGAGCTCGCATGGGTGCTCGCTACTTCCTGCGGCTTGGGCGAGAGCTGACAATTTGTTTTGTTTTTTTTTATGTCGCAAATTTGACATGCTATCTGACTTGCAATTTTCTTCCCTTCTCGCAACTATCACTGGTCATGTCTTCTGATGATGGTAGCCGATCACCAAGTTCGTAAGTGCCTTTATACCTATAGAGTGGTTCCAAGGTGCACAAGAAGAGATTCGTGGCTAATTTGCATCGCGTTAGGTCTGAAGCTCACTTCCAGAAGTAGCGTGCCACCTAGGCTTCAGCCATACCTAATGACATGCATGTCTAGTTGGCGGAGTCTTCGACTGACGATGCGTCTTGTGTGAACCCAAATGATCCAAATGCTAGAATTATCACATTTCGTCCCTTCTATTTCTCCTTGAGCTTAACGTTCCCATTGTCAAAGTTCTTTGGGAAGGTGTTCCGTGCTATGGAGTGTGCCCTAAGCCAATGTACTCTGAACGTCTACTGGGCGATCATGTGTTTTGAGAATTTGAACTGTTTCTTCAAGCTAGATCTGACGATGCGAGAGTTCTTCTACTTCTTCAAAGTGAGGCACTACGAGAAGTATGCCCAAGTCTATATATGCTAAGCCAAGCTATTTGACAATCTCAGCCAAAGAGATCAAGTATGGCACGCCGATGTGTTGGAGGTCAGCGGAAGGTGGGAAGGCGAGGTCGGCAATGGTTGCTCGTTCCTGTCACCTACTGTGATGATACGTTATTATTTTATTCATTTGCTTCAATTTTGTCTAAATTCTTTGATGTGTGACTAACTGACTTCTGTCTTCTGCTTGCAGAGAATGACATCTGCAAGAAACAAGATCTCGGGCGGACATGGCTAAGGTCTACTGGGCCTTGAACATCCCAGCGAGGATTCCCGAATGGCATTGGCTATTAAGTGAGTATTGGGAGAAAGATGGTGGTCTACCCCCTACCAAGGATGTTGAGAAATGGAAGCAATATGACCCAGACTCAGATGATCTGCCTACCGAACGGGATGAGTCCTCAACCGAACATCCTGAAAAGTGGAAGGCTGATGCTAGGTCTTCAAAAGATGAAGCTAGAACCTCGTGGGCAAGGGATGTGTCTCTATTGAGAAAGAAGCCAAGACTTCCTTCTGTTGTGATCAAGTTTTCTTTGAAAGAGGCATCGTCTGCTGAGAAGACTCAAGTAGGAGCTCCTCCTTCGTCATTTGCCAGGATCAAGCACCTTGTCAGTGTGGATAGTAAGAAGATTGGTGGCATGCAAAATGTTCGGGGCATCCTGCTCAAGTCTCTGACTGACAAGCTCAAAACTTGCAATCTGCCTTGTAAAGAAGTCCGCTCTTGAACTGGTTCGCATGCCTAGAAGCAAAGAGATGCTGATATTCCTCCCCAAAGTTTGGGTCGTCTACTCCAGTCAAGGGATGAAGATCGAACTGGGAGGACTTCTCCTCCACCTAACCATCGCAATCTAGTTGTTGAGCCACGAGTAGTCAAACATGGAGCTGATTCGAAGTCGTTGACTCCTTTGGAGGTGAGGATGGCGGCGGATAAGAAGGCCAGAGAGTCATCTACTTGGGCGAGTCCAACTCTACAGGGGATGCATGTGTGTCTAATTCGCTCAAGATGAACTTTCTCTTGAGCTTGTCTGCTTGCGTCAAGCTGGTTGATCATATACATCAGCCTAGTGATCTTGGCACGTTCTTAAGTCTTTCCTTGGAGAAACAAAAGGAAGCGATTGTCAGTTTTTCAAAAAGGAATAGTTTTTTTTGTTGAGGCATCCGGAATTCGTTTGTTGTTGCCCTTTCTTCTGCTCAGCTCAGCGAGTTGGAGAAGAAGAATGTTGATATGACTAGCAAGCTCTCAATCGAGCAGGTCCGCCATGAAACAAGGATGTTGGAAATTAAGGAGAGCATGTCTTTGCTGAAGAGTTCCCTTGCTAAAAAAGATAATGAACTCAACTCTTCTGTCGCTACTCTACATAGTTGCAAGCTTCTAGTTGAGTTTGAAGCCTATCACAAAGCTACTGAGCAATCTAAGTCTGAGGTCGTTATTGACGTATACAAGCTGGGTTACATGGACTGCAAGAGTGGGGTCGCTCCTTGTTATTCCATTGAAGATGAAGACATCGAGACATTTTGCCTTGACATGCCCTCTACTCAAAGTGAGCGGATCAATGTTGTGGACATAGAGGCAGCCGAAGAGCAGGTGGTTAACAAGACTGTAGCTGAGGAGGATGATGTCGAGGCGGACACCAAAGAGGTCGCGGAACATGGGTCTCCTACTAAAATCTCGCAGTAGATGAAGACTCCTTTATCTTTTCAAGTTTTGTAATATGCTTTCCTATTTGCAATAATTGGTCTTATTTGACCATCTTCTTTCTGTTGAACCTGACTAGTTGGTCACTTTATTATGAAAACTTCAATTATTTCTTTAACTTCAATTCGCATTGTGTCTTGTGAACCGCTTGAGTGACTAGCTGGTGTCTCTGTTGTGCATTTCCCTTAAGATGTTTAAATGTTTACTCACCACTTGCTTGAAGGGTGGTCTTCTGCTTCTCCCTTAGGATGCTTTGAACATCGTCCTACGTCTCCTTTAGGACGTTTTTAGACTGTGCCTCCCTTAAGACGCTTTTAAACAGGAGTTTGCATCTCCCTTAGGACGCTTTACGGAATGCGTCTCCCTTAGGAAGCTTTTAGATAACTACTTTCTTTTAACACTTCTTTTGAATGAAAAACTGAACTTGTATTGATGCTTGTATGATTGCATCACTGTTTGAAATGGAAATAATTGGATAAATACCCTGAAATCATGAGTAGTTGCTTCTCTTCTTCAGAAGTGGGTAGGGCTCAGTCGTCTGCTAGGAACTAATCAGATAGGCGGAAGCTTCATGGGGTAATATCTTCGGAGGTGATAGGCATTCCATTGTCTTAGAATCTCCTTCCCTTCTAGGGTGTCAAGTGTGTAGCTTCCTCTGCCCCTAGACCGGCTGATCACGTAAGGGTCTTCCCAATCGAGTTTCATCTTCTTTGATCCTTGTTTTTGCATAGTAATGAAAGCCTTTCTAAGTACAAGGTTGCCAGGTTGAAATTGTTTGACCTTGGCCCTTTTGTTGTAGTAATACTTCAACTGTTGCTAGTAAGAGGCAACTTGGACAATGGCTCTCTCGCATTCTCCCTCAAGTAGATCGAGGTTGACCTTCATTTGTTTGGAGTTCTGACCAATACTACCCACCTCAATGCTCATAGACGGGACAGTGATGTGCGGAGGAATGATTGCCTCAATTTCGTAAGCTAAGGAAAATGGGGTTTCACCGGCTGATCTCCTTTTGGTTGTTTGATAAGCCCAAAGTAATCCATGGAGCTCATCTACCCATTTTCCTTTGGTGCCTTCCAGTCTATTCTTTAGACAATCCAATACAATTTTATTGGATGCCTTGACTTGGCCATTACCTTACGGATATCTTGGAGTGGACATGTGTTGCTTGATACCATACTTTTCAAGGAAGGCGGTGATCTTCTTGCCAATAGATTGTGACCCATTGTCGGTAACCAGTGACTGTGGGCAGTTGAATCGGCAGATAATGTTCTTCCAGAAAATCATTATACATTGGCGTCTTTAGTAGAGGATAAAGCTTCGACCTCGATCCATTTAGTAAAGTAGTCGGTGGCGACGATCATGTCTTTCTTGGCAGGTGCCGGTGGCATGAGATTCACTAAGTCAATGGCCCATTGCATGAATGGCCACTGGTTATTCCGCGGATGGTACACTTTGGCAGGCAAGCAAGGCACCAGCTTGTATCATTGGCATCGATCACATCTTTTGACATACTCTGTGGAGTCATGGCGCATGGAAGGCTAGAAATAGCCTATCCTTAGAGCTTTCTAGTCGAGTGACCTGCCCCCAGAGTGGTTGCCGCACTCGACGTCGTGTATTTCGCAGAGTACCTCAAGTGTTTGAGAGTACTTTATGCATGTGAGATGACGACAGGAGTATGATCTGCGGATGAGCTTGTTGTTTTGCATGTAGTGACAGGACCCGACCCAAATTCCACTTTGGAATTTGAGCCGAACCCTGTTCGTGATCGACACCTGGCGGGTGCCGAGCACAATTGACTTGGTTGTCCTTTTTCTGATTAGAAACTTAATTCCCTTAAATACTGACTTCTACCAAAAATTCGGTAGTCACCCCTGTAAATCGAACGTTCCCAAAATTTACACCTGTCAACAAGCACTTAAATATATACACCAACTGCCAGTATACAAAAATAAGTAAGTTCCAACAGTTAAATACGTTTCAGGGCAAAATCAGAGCAACTATACAAATTTATTTACAAAGGAGGTGACCACCTGTGAACCAAGGTACCCTACATCAAAATGGGGAAGAGTGGGAAGCGGGAAATGCCCTGTGGTGGCTCTCGGATGCACGTCTATAGCCTGGGGGTGCAAAACATTAAAAAGGTGAGTGGACCCAAAAACAAAGTTTAGAAAATACATATGAACATACTAACCCCACTGTAAAAGCAGTTATAAAACTAAATCATTCTCTTCTGTATATGCGTACTGAAACCAATGCACTCATATATACATATATAAATATACCAATCACGCTCATGGTCAACATCAATCTCTTAAAAGCATTGAAATCAGTTTAAAACTACCACCTAGGTGTTACCCTGTGTTTTCATCAATTCCTGATATCCGTCAATTCCCCTCGCATCACCATTGGTGACACGTCCTCGCAGGTCTAGGTGACATAAAGTCAATCCGAGCCACAACCTCGCAGGATTCAGGGGACCTTGGTCAACCTGATCCGCGTCCTCGCTCCACACGAGTTCGGGTACCATAGAACTCGTGGGGCAACTGTCAAGCATGCTGACTAAACCGAAGGCAACTGATAAAATCCGAAGGCAACCTGGATGTTCGTGGGACATCATCATATCCGAAGGCAACATCTGTATATCTGGGTACCTAAGGTGGCTTAGAAATAACAATAATAACAATAAGCAAAGTTTTTGAAAGATCTGATAAAGCTGGACTCTGCTGCCATTTATCTGATGTTTAACTAAAATTCTCTTTTCCTATATTCCTAAAGGATATTCCACTCGGCAGCATGCAAATCATAATATAATAAAAGATATTAATAAAACTGCTCGGTAGAAATATTTAAATAAAACCCTGACCCCCGGCTTCTAGAAGTGCGTGCATCAAGGTTATTCATATGCCCATATTACGTTCCTTTAATCCTAGGACATTCGTCCCGTGAATCTAGTTTCGATCGGACGGTTAGATTCGTCACGATCACACGATCGACGATTCTAAACCCTTAACCCTAGGGTTCGCGATTTCGGAGTATCCGGGACTCCGATTCACGATCCGTCAAATCCTACACAATCCTGGCAAGGTCTAGATTAACATATCTGAAAGTGATCACGACCCAACGGTTCGCAACTATTGAACCCGGATAACGCACACTAAGTAAAAGTCCGCTTAACACTCAAACGACATCCGAATTGGGATATGTGAATTTCTACACGCTTGTGAGAATACGAGGATCATTCTGAAACTGAGAGTGGTCCCCTCCAGACTGCCCACGCGCCGCCACACGCGCCGGCAGCTTGGGTGGCTTGAGAAATTTCCGGTGGCCGGAAAAACTCCAAACCGTCAGCCCAAACTCCTAACTTAGGTAAAACACCCATTTCGGAACCACTCTTGTTCTTGGACCTACCCCAAAAAGTGGCCGAAATCCTACCCTCAAAACCGGCTGACACTTAAGTTTAGAATCGAACGATCTACGATTGAAATTTCTAAAATCCTACCCAACCAGCAGCTAAGTCACGAAAAATAGGTAGGAATCCATACCTTGATGGTCGGATTTGGTGGAGAATCGAGGGAGAACGAGCGATGAGAAAATCTGTCAAAACCCGCGCGATTTTCTGCATTTTCCGGTGGCTGCTGGTGGTGGTGACGGCTGAGCTTGGTCGGACTTGGAAGAGGAAGCGGCGGTGGGTCGATTGGGTCCAGTCTCGTTGACCGGAGTGGAGGGTGGCGGTGGTTATGAAGCTTTGAAGGAGACGGCTGGAGAAGGGACGCACGGGAGAGAAGAAGAAATTGGGGGAGAAGAGGGAGAAGCTGAGTTTTTAAAAATCTGGCTTGGAAAATTACCATTTTGCCCCTTGAAGTATTTTGACCGTAATTTCTTCGTTACAACTCCGCTTCGAGTTTACTCCGTGTCTACGGACTCGTTTCGTCGCGCTCTACGCAACGGTGCAAGTGGATTGGTCAAATTCTTCTCTGGTCAAAAGTCAACTTTCCCTTAATAACTTAGTCCAAGGGCAAAATTGTCCTTTCTCCTTAATAAACTAATAGTTAAATATTAATTAAGGTTTGGGTATTACATGTAGTATCTCGCAGCTTTCCACTGATTCTTCCTAGCTTCAGACTTGTCATGTGGCAGATTTCCATTTGCTAAGTAGTCAATGATGGGGTATTGGCAGCTAGGGTCCTCATCAATCTACATTGAGTCTACTTGTTCTAATTTGTTGATGCTTGGCCAATCAAGGTGCTCGACTGGATGGAGCATTTGAACTGGGTGTCCAAAGCTGATCCTAAGCTTGCCAAACGCATTTTCATGAGTGTTCTCTGCCTAGGAAACTTGTTGGATAATGAAAGTAGAGAATTCCTTCAAAAGCACTTGGACTTTGTCGAGGTATTGGATCATTCTCGAGTGTTTTGCTAGTTCTTTTGCTAAGCGCAGTCTGACGAGCAATGCCTCGTATTCTGCTTCGTTGTTTGAAGCTGGAAAGCCTAATATGATGACTTGTTCCAACAAAGTTTTATCTAAGGTGACTATGACAACGCCTACTCCAACTCCCTTATGATTCAATGCTCCGTCTACGCGCAATTTCCATATGTCTTTGGGCAAGTTTGGATCGGCGGAGGAGGTATCGTCTACTCTCGAACTTTCTTTGTTTTTTATGACCAGCTTCTCTTCTTCAGCTATTAGAGTAAACTCTACAACAAAATTTGCTAAAGCCAAGGCTTTTATAGCAATCTTCAGCTGGTAGAGGAGGTTGTATTGACTGAGTTTGATAGCTCATTTCATGAGTCGCTAAGACGGGGCTGTGAAGAATCAATCTCAAAGGAAATTTGTCATAACGATTATTCGGTGAGCTTGGTAGCAAGGTCTTAACTTTCTAGAGAAAACTATAGGGGACAAAATGAGCATTTCCATTTTTGGATAGCGAGTCTCTGCATTGATGAGGGCTTTTTATGTGTAGAATATCGTATGTTGTACCCCCAGCTCTTCTCGGATGAAAGCCAAGCTAATTGCTGAGTTAGACACTGCTAGGTAGACAAATAATGCTTTGAAGAGTAGGGGAGATGAAGTGAGGTGGGGCTTCAAGTTTTGAAAAGAGATTTCGCATTCTTAGTCCCACTTGTCACTTTGTCCTTTCTTCAAGGCTTTGAAGAATGGCTTGAACGTGTTGGTAGATCTCAAGAGAAATCAGTTGAGAGCTGCTGCTCTACCTGTTAGACTTTATATCTCCTTCGTCGTGGCAAGTTAGTTCATGTTGAGGATGACCTTGATTTGATTGGGATGTGTTTCGATGCTTCTTTGGGTGACTAAGCATCTCAAAAATCGGCCAGATGAGACTCCAAATGTGCACTTGCTTGGATTCAACTTCATATGGCATTTTCTGAGTAGGCTAAAGGCTTTGAAAAGGTTCATGATGTGGTCCGCTCATTGGGGAGCTTTGACCAACATGTCATCTACGTAAACTTCCATAGTTTTGCCTATCTGATCCTTAAAAATCTTGTTTACAAGCTTTTGGTAGGTTGCTCCGACATTCTTCAGCCTAAAAGGCATGATTTTGTAGCAGTATATGCCTCTTTCGATTATGAAAGAAGTCTTCGCCTTATCTTCTTCACGCATCATGATTTGATTGTAGTCGGAGTAGGCGTCCATGAAGCTAAACAGTTGAGTACCAAATGTTTAATCTATGAGTTAATTAATTCATGGTAGTGGAAAGTTGTCTTTTGGGCATGCCTTATTGAGGTTGGTGTTGTTGATGCAAACTGTCCACTAGCCCTTGTCTTTCTTTGCTACCAGAACAACGTTGGCCAGCCACTATGCGTAGGAGACTTCTTTAATGAAACCGACAGCTAAGAGCTTCTCGATCTCGGTTTCAATGATGACAACTAGCTCAGGAGCGAAGTTGCTTCTCTTCTACACCACTGGCTTACTGGTTGGGTTGACATGTAGTTGGTGACTGATGATTTGCGAGTCAATTTCAGGCATATCAGATGGTCACCATACAAATACATCGTTGTTGTTATGGAGGAAGGTAGTCAGTTTCACCTTCTTTTCTAGGCTTAGGTGGGAGCTGATCTGCGCTTTTCTTTCTGGCTTGTTAAGATCAAAAGTACTAGCTCAACGTCCTCTTCAGGCTTCCATCCTTCTTCAGGAAAGACCTCTAGATGGATTCCTTCGACTTGGTCCTGACTCTTTAATTGCTATTTGGAGGGGGGTAGCTATCCTCTTTACTTTTTGGTCCGCTCGATTGTCAGGAATGGGATTTGCCATCTCATTCACTTGTTCTGTCCGGCTTACTGGTATGAACTGTGCTTGCTTGCATTTCCTTAGGCCTTGGGCGGAGCATCTTCTCACCACTGCCTAATCACTGTTGATCTTCCCGATGCCCCTTCCATGTAGGGGGTAACATATTTTCTGATGAGTGGAAGAGGTAATCAAAATGGTCAATTACATCTAAGTACTTGAAACCATTCAAACCATAATCAAACCATTAAATTCTTATAAAACTAAAACCATTAAAGCCTTATTAAACTAACTAATTGCAGAATCTATAATTCCACAACATTCAAACCATTCAAAAAGAGTTTATCATAATTCAAAAACAAGTTGCAAAAGTTCAACATCATCACATCTAAGGATGAAAAAAAGGATCTTTGACAAAATGGCTCCTTTGTTAATCTTTCATCCTCCTCCTACATTGTTGTACTCGAGATAGTTTGGCAGATTGAGATGAATCACATGTTTGAGAAGCCTGAGCTACTTGAGATGGTTGTGATTGAGAAGCATGAGCTGCTTGAGATGGTAGGGATTAAGAAGCTTGGGCTACTTGATATGCCTAGGATTGAGAAGGCCCTTGGGAAGCACTTGCTTTGGGATTGAGAAGCATGAGCTGCTTGCGATGGTTGGGATTAAGAAGCTTGGGCTACTTCAGATGCCTAGGATTGAGAAGGCCCTTGGGAAGCACTTGCTTGTTTCCTTTGCCTTAGTTGCATACTTTGTTGTCCGCTACTTTGATCTCCACCATCTCTCCTTCTTACCTAAAATAAATAATAATTAGGTAGGCATGATATGAAAATTTGAATGGTGAAAACATAGTTGAAACCGTGGCATTTACCAGAAGTTTTTCCTTGGCAACTTTCCTCTTTCTAGTAGGCTTTATGTTGGGATTTCTAGGTTCCTAATAAGCAAAGTCATCAAGTAAGAAACAAAATCAAATATATTTAAATGTAAAGCAATTTTGGATAATGACACATACCTTACAACTAATTCGATTATGCCTTTCTTCACCGCAATTGTCACACTTTAAAGGGATGCCATACATAGGAAGCTGATATGGATTAGCAGGTTGTTTAGGCTCATCAAAAGCTTTTTTTCTTGTCTTCTCAGGCCTACCAGGCTACTTGTGGTATTTTGGAGGGAGTAACGGAGGTAAATTAATCTTCATCCACTGACCTTGGCTAGTCATAGGCATAATCATTGGTTCATAGGCTCTTAAATAAGCCTCTTTCTTGTACACTGCATCACAAAAGTCCTCTAGACTCCCATGAAACCAACTTATTGTAGCACAAGCATGCAAACATGGCATTCCATTCAAATCCCAAGCATGACATGAACAAGAGTGGGCATTCAAATCAACAGCAAAGTTGCAGCCACGATGGTGCATTACTTCAAACCTATTCTGTCCAGCAGGCTTAAGAATGCACCACTGAGCTTTCCCTTTGTTTTTCACTAATATCTTTCTAATTCTTGGCCCAACTTGTCCATGCCATTTCTCACAGAAAACCCTTCTTCCAGCCATTAACAACATTATATACAACCGAATTCTTCCTAGCGTAGTCAAAACAAGCTTGTCTCTAGCATCCATTATGCTACGGTTGAATGCCTCACATAGGTTGTTCATAAGCATGTCACACTTGGAATCACTCTTGAAATATGCCATACTCCAATGCCTAGGATCTTTCTCTGCAAGCTAATCATGTGCAGGTTTAGACAACTCCAACATTTTTCTCATCTTTGCATGCCATGGCACTGTTGTGGCCCTAGCAATTACTTCCTTTTGATGTTTCGAAGCAAAACCTCTATGTTCCAAATAGAAGTTTCCATACAGATGTTTCAAACAATGTCTATGCTCTGCATGAGGGAATAGAGCATCCACAACATCTATTAAACCTTTTTGTTTGTTAGTCATAAATACATAATTGTTCCTAATATTCAGATCACCACTCAATAATTTTAAAAACCACAGCCACGTTGAATTGCTCTCAATCTCTACATATGCATAGGCAAGTGGAAACATTCCGTTGTTTGCATAAACTCCCATTGCAGAAAGCACTTGCCCAAGGTGAGGCCCTTTGACATGACACCCATCCAAGCAAACCACAGGCCAACAACCATCTAAAAACCCCTTCTTACAGGCTACAAGACAGATGTAAATCCTATGAAATCGTGGCCTATCACCTTTCATTTCAGATTTAATGATAATTGTACTTCCCACATTTCTGGTTCTTAACTCATGACAATAATCCATATTGTTTACTGTAAGACCCTTCTACAATGTCAACTGCCATGGCTCTTGCTCTGTACACAATTGCTCTAGATGGTCTATAACCATAGTCTTGGTGAACTTGCTCTGCAAAAGAAGAAGTAGTCTAATTTGGATTGAGCCTTAACTGCCCAGAATATCTTTCAGCCAACCAGCTATCAGTGGCATGTGTATTTTTACCCCCCTTACTACAAACATGTGTAGGATTAAAGGTTTTCACCTGCAGGTAAGTGCTACCACTAACACTTGAAGCATGGATAACAAAAGGACAACTCTCTTCACATACTACTCTTATTTTGTTACGGTTATTATTCATAAATATCAACTCTCTTCCACAATTAATGGAGTATATCCTCACAGCTTTTCTAAACATCTCGACAATTGCAAACTTTAAACCTATTTTGAAACTTGGGTTTGCCATATCAATTTCAGGTCTAAAATTTTCACCCTTTGGCATTCTATTCTTCTTCCTTCTTAGTTCACCTACTATTTCATCTTCACTTGAAGAGCTATTTGGGCAGGTAAGTGTAGGTGACTCTTCTCCATTGTCTGACTCATCATTTTCCTCTGCATTAGGATCATTGTCAATACAACTATGATCCACATAACCTTCAAACCACTTATCATCCTTCTTCAATAAGTCAATCTCTTCATCACTTTGTGCATAGTCACTGTCTTCAAAGTTTGGATAACTGCTATCATCATCCTCAGAACAAGAATATTCTGGATCACTACTATCCTTCCGCACTTGGCTTGAAGTCAGGCTCACTACCTTCAAGTACAAAACTATCACCCTGCTATTGCTTTAAGGTACTGTGCTCATACATGCTAAAAGCATACTATCTGATACTATTTGAATGAGTCTACCAGTTCCAAACTCTTCACCATAAAAACTCACATCATACCCATCGTCATTTCCCAAATCTTTTGCCATTCCAAATTGCTCTAACATGGAAATATAGCCAACCTCACAATAATCAAACCAACTGACTTCACCAACCAAATAAGACCATTCATCGTCACTTCTATTTTGAACTAGTTTACCTACATGGAAAAACTTAAATGTAACAACCTTGTTAGCATCTTTATCTATGTAAGATGAAGATTCACTTAACAAATCGACAAAGGTAACAAAGACAAAACAAGGACCATATAAGGACAATACAAGGAACACACAAGGACCACACAATCACCAATTAAGGACTACACCAGGACCAGCACAGAGTAAAAAAAGTATATGAAAAAACAAAAAAAAACAAAAACTCCAGCAACACACAATGACCACACCAGGACCAGCACAGAGTCAAAAAGTATACAAAAACAAAAAACAAAAAAACTCCAACAACAGTTCAATGCACATGCCAAAATCAAGAAAATCGAGTGCGAATGGGTCCACTTACATATGGGTTGACAACCTCCAAATTCTCTAAGCACCACCATCTTCGCACTTTATAGCCTTAAAGTCTAATGCCAAACATTGATTTCTTCTCTAGATTCTCCAAATTTCCCCTTTTCTGAAACTGAAAAACCCTTATTCTCTAATGTTAAGGATTGAAACGAAGTGGGGCCTAAAGCATGTAATGGAACATCTATAATACTAACGGAATGAGTAACGTGAGACCCTTTTTAATAGTGTTGGGGGTTTTTTGAGATGTTTCAAAGCACAGGTGGTAATATGAGACAAGTTTGAAAGCACAGGGGGCATGTACATAAATAAGCCTTAAATCAATCTCCAAAACTCCAAAATTTACCCAAACTACTACATAAACAAGTAGAGCATGATGATGGGATGAATTTCCATACCTCACTTGACGGGTTTGGCTGTCGGAGTAACTGGAAAATGCTAGAACACCACCGAAAAACCTAACCCTTTTCTCAGCTTCGATTCGAGCTCACCGTCAACGAATTAGATCTGCTTTGGATGGGTTTTGTAGAGAAGGACGAGAGGAACATTTTTCGTGAAGGTGGCGCGGCCAACCGGTTCACGACGGAGTCAATTGGTGGCCTAGAAGTCGAGCAGTCACTGTTGATACAGTGACTGTCACAAGGGAAAAGAAGAGAGGAAGAAGAAATATCGGGGGGTTAGGGGGGGAGAGGAAAGAAGAAGGAGAAAAATAAAAAGTAGCTCGGTACTGTAGCAGTAACAAATTTGAAAATTATAATAACGTCCTTTTCGTTTCTAGACCTTTCCTCATTCGTTACAACTCGGAATTGGGCGTGCCCCATGTCAACAAACTTGTTTCATCGAGCTCTATGCAATGGTTCCACTCAATTCCCCAAGTACAGTTCCCGTGTTAATGGTGCCCAAGAAAGACAGCATGTGGCCTATGTTTGTTGATAGTAGTCGTGCGATCAACAAAATCACCATCAAGTACGTATTCCCAATCCCACACCTAGAAGGCATGTTGGATGTTTTGGAGGGCTTTAAAGTGGTTTCCAAAATTGACTTGAGGAGCGGTTACCACTAGATTCGAATCCAACCTGGAGATGTGTGGAAAACAACCTTTAAGAGCAAGAATGGACTATACGAGTGGTTGGTGATGCAATTTGGATTATCCAATGTGCCGAGCACATTTATGAGGCTTATAAACCAGGTTATGCACCTCTTTATTGGTTCTTTTGTTGTAGTTTATTTTGATGACTTTCTGATTTACAGTAAAACCAAAGAGGAGTATTTGATACATTTGAGAGAGGTTTTGAAGGTTCTACAAGAGAACAAGTTGTATGTTAACCTAAAAAAGTTTTTTATTCCTTACAAACAAGTTAATTTTCTAGGTTATGTTGTTAGTGCATATGTATTCACATGGATGAAGATAAGGTGCGAGCCATTCGAGATTGGCCTACATAGAAGACAGCTAGTGATGTGCGGAGTTTCCACGACCTTGCAACATTTTACACACGGTTTGTCAGAAATTTCAGTACTATTACTGCACGCATTATTGAATGTCTGACATTTTGCCCTAATTAAAGAAAAGTAGGACACTGCACCTGTTCTAGCCCTTCCTAACTTTGAAAGGATATTTAAGGTCGAATGTGATGCGAGTGGAGTGGGTGAAGGAGTTGTTTTGTCCCAAGAGAAGAGACCGGTTGCATTCTTTTCATAAAAACCCAGTGAAGCGCACCAAAATGGAGCACTTATAACTAGAAGTTTTATGCAGTGGTTTGAGCTTTGAAACAATGGAAGCATTATCTAGTGCAATGAAAGTTTGTGCTTTAAACTGACTACGAAGCCTTGAAATTTCCATTTGTGAACAAGATGCATCTCAGCTAGGTTACTTTTTTGCATAAATTTCCATTTGTTATTAAACATAAGCCTGGGGTTCTTAACCATGTAGCAGATGCATTGAGTCGACGAGCAACCTTGCGGGTTACTTTTGCTAAGACGTTGTAAGTTTTGAATTTCTAAAAGAGCTTTAATAGGCATATAAGGATTTTTCAACAAATGTTAGTTAAGTGTGTTCGCAAAGAGCTGATGGCAGGTTACCATGTCAATAAGGGTTATTTAATTAATGGAAACTGGATCTGCATCGCTAGTTCCTCCTGAAAGGAGAAACTTATTCAAGATTTGCATGGGTGTGGATTGAGTGGCCATTTGGGCTGTGAAAAAACCATGGCTAGCATAAAAGAGCGCTTTTTCTGGCCATACTTGAAGCAAGATGTCAACAATATTATGAAGAAGTACTACAGTTGTCAAGTATCTAAAGGGCAATCACAAAATACTAGTCATTATATGCCCCTTCTTATTTCTGATGGTATTTGATAGGATCTGTCTATGGATTTTGTGCAAGGATTCCCTCGTACCCAAAGAGGAGTCAATTATCTTGTTGTTGTGGTAGGTTCTCCAAGATTGGGCACTTTATTATGTGCAAGAAGATTGCGAACGCATCCAACATAGCCAAATTATTTTTCAAGGAGGTTGTGCGGTGGCATGGTGTTCCCAAATCTATTACATCATACCGTGACACCAAATTCCTTAGCTAGTTTTGGACACACTATGAAGGATGTTTTCCACGAACCTGAATCGTAGTAGCACCACTCATCCACAGACAGATGCCCAGATGAAGATTACCAACAATACCATGGGCAATATGATTACGAGTGTTTGTGGGGACATACCAAAACATGGGACTATGCATTGCTGCATATGGAGTTTGCTTACAATAGTGCTTTCCATTCTTCCACAAGAAACTAACCAATTCTCGAAGTTTACACTTTCATGCGTAAGCATGTGGTCAACCTAGTGAAGCTTCCTATAGGCCAAGGAGTTAGTGTCACAGCTGAAAACATGACTAAATAGGTTCAAACTGTGAGGGGAGAAGTGAAGCTGAAGTTTGAAAGGACTAATGCCAAGAATAAATCTATTGCTGACAAGCACCAACATTCCAAGACGTTGATTTTGTGATGGTCTACCTAAGAAAAGAGTGGTTTCCAATTCGTACCTAAAACAAGCTAAAACCTCGAAAATATGGCCCTTACAAAGTTCTGAAGAAGATAAATGACAATGCCAATGTCGTGGATCTTCTTTCTTCCATGGGCATTTCGAGTACCTTCAATGTTGTGGATCTACATGAGTTCCATTATGGTGAGCGTCAATCTATCCAAAAGATAACTAGGGGTTCAGTTCTTCTGATGGAAGGGACTAATATAGAATAGATGGTGAAAGCAATTGAAAAGGAGTTGGAGAGACGCATGTGCAAAGGCAAATTTGGAAAGTTGCATGTTTGTACCCTGAGCTCGAATTTGGGCCCATGACCAGCCATTTCAAATATAATGGCGTCACAAGCCAGCCGCACATAGCACTGTCATTTGGGCTTTTTCGAGCATCCAAGATCGTTTAGCAGCCAAAAAAGGCATTTTAATGTTTATTAGTTTTTGGAAACTTTGTTAATTTTCCTTTGTTAATTCCTTTAGATTCGATATATAAACTAACTTTAGCCAATAGTTAGGGTTATGTTATGTTGTTTTCATATTATCAATATACTTGAGGTTTCCTTATTCTTCCTAGTGGATTCCAGAATTCTTGATTCTTGGATACAATTTTAGCCTATTAATTGTCCCGCTGCGTCATATTGCCTTATTTCAACAAGTTAGCGGTAGTTGATGACTGGTTGGATCGTTTGTTTTATGAGATTTTGATTGTTCCAGATTGCCCACCTGCCATACTACCACACCAATGGGCCTCCAAGTTCATCACTAAAGTAAACTCTTCTCCTGAAACTGATAACACTAATGAATTGAGTTATGATGATTTGATTTCACATAATACACATACAAAGGGCATCAATACTCCTATATACCCATTTCCAGTTTGACAGGACAAAGTGAAGTACCTTATAAACAATTATTTGTCTACACACAGATGTTCAACATCACATGCATGTTTTGTAGATAAGCTGGCCTCCATATACGTGCCAAGTAGTGTGCAAGAAGCAATGAAACATCAGGAATGAAGATATGCAAGCAGAAAGATGCCAGGAATGAAGAGATGCAAGCTCTCCAAAAGAATTCCACCTAAGTGCTTGTTTTACTTTGTGGAAAGAAAACAGTAGAATGCATATGGGTCTATACCATGAAACTCAATGACAATAGCTCGATTGAGACAAGGCTAGGTTAGTGGCAAAGGGTTACACAAAGAACTATGGGGTGGACTACTAGGAAACCTTTGATTGAGTGCCCAACAACACCATCAAAATCTTATTACTTGTATCGGCAAATCTAAATTGGCCATGGCATAAGTTTGATGTTAAAAATGTCTTTTTTCATGGAGACTTGTAAGAATAGGTTTATATGGATTTACCTCCGGGTTCTAATCAGCTCTTGGTAGAAATGATCGTGTTTATAAACTCAAAAAACCACTATATGGCTTGGAAGATGTGTGTTTAAGGAAAATGGAACCTGTCATATTTGGAAAAATGGAGCCTGTCATATTTGGAAGATGTGGGTAGGTACATTAGTTTGCAAGTTAAGACTAACAATCATTACTTTCTTTGTTACATCAAAAATGGAACCTGTCGTATTTGGAAGATGTGTGTTTAAGGACAAGACTATTTTGATTCCACTTCAAAGTGACTCAACTTTAATGTTGTTGTGTAATGTATCTGTCCTTGATGAATGAGAAGAAATATACAGTTACAATTGCTATTATGGAGTGTCTATTGCCTGAGAAGCAAAACGGTGTTGATGATGTGTTTGGTGGTGATGGTAAGACACATACTACAGAGGATGATTTCATTGGGAAATACACAGCACCTTCTGGTCATACATACTTGTCTCATTCTTGGAAGAACTACATCAATCATGTGGGTCAGAAGTGTACTAGTGGGGTTATTGAGTTTAGAGAAAAATTGTGCAAGTATGCCACTGAGAAAGGTTTTAAGGTTAGGTACCTTAAAAATGAAAAAGAAAGAGTGACTGCCCAATGTTCTAAAAAAGTATCTGATGGTTATAGTTGGCGTGTGTATGCGTCATTATGTCCTACAAATGAGTTTTTTTACATTCGGAGCTTGAACAACAAGCACACTTGCAAAGGATGCATCCGTGAACGTACGAGCAGCATGATGTCTTTGAAAATTGTGTCCTCTATTTTGGTTGACCAAATCCAATCTAAACCATTGATTAAACCGATCGAAATTGTCAAGGATTTCAAGAAAAACTATGGGTTGGGCATTTCTTATCACAATGCATCATACGGGAAGGAATTAGCAAAGAAAATGGTCCATGGTGATGAGTCATTGTCGTATAAACACCTGGCTTGGTATGTGGGAGCAGTGTTGAGCTCAAACCCTGGTTCATGTTGTATGTTGGAGTGTGACCTTGAGTCATCCAGATTCAAAAGGGTTTTTATTTCTTTCCATGCTTGCATAGAAGGATTTAGATTTTGTAGGCCGTTGTTATTCTTTGATATGGGACATTTATCAAGAACAAATATAAGGGGCACTTGCTCGCTGCTACTAGGAAAAATGGCAACCAAGGTAATGAGACAAGTTTCTTTGACCAAAAAAAAAATTTAATTCAATTCGCGCCACTCTTTGTAGGTAAACTATAATAATTTTTTGGGTATTGGTGTTTTATAGTTTGGGGTTTGTTACTAAGCATTCTATTTACAATGTGAAGCACCCACCTGGTCAGTTTTGGTTCTTTTTTGTTGTTACTATTTACGTATCATGGAAGGCTAATTTCAGTTTGTTACCTATCTGCTAGTACAAAAAATTGTTTTGATCTAATATTGTTATGATAAAAACAGGTATGTATCCTTCAGCATTTGCAGTCGTTGATTATGAAAATGAAGAAAATTGGACCTGGTTCCTCTAAAATCTTGCAGAAATTCTCAACCCCCAAGGAAGGACTATTGCATTCATATCTAATTGTAACAAAGGGTTGCTTGAAGCACTACCATCCGTGTTCCCACATTCACGACATGCATTTTGCTTCCACCATTTGAAACACAATGTCCTTGCCAAGTATCCATCATCATTGGGAAAGACATATTGTGATTGGATTTTTCATCTTTTTGGTAAGTGTGCATATGCTCCAATTGAGGACGCATTTGAAATGAGTATGAGAATGCTGCAGGAGGAGGGTGGTGCTGTAATAACAGAGTTCTTGAAAAACCTTCCAAAAGAAAATTGGTCAACTGCTTACTTTCCAGGTAAAAAGTTTAAATACCATTGAAGCCACTTGGTGTACCTTAAAGATGCCATATTTTTACAGGCATTTAACAGCTATTGTTTTAGATTTTGAGGTTTTTTTTTGTGCCTTTCTATTATCTTTGGCTCATGAAATCCTAATTACTAGATAAAAAAAATGTGGTGAAATTTGTTCCACTGTAGCAGAGTCCTTTAATGCGTGGATTGTATACTAGCATCATTTGCCCATTTACCAGATGATAGATGGTATAAGGATCAAAATTATGGAAATGATTGCTCAGAGGCGACGTACATCAAAATTATAGACTGTTACCCCTATGTGGAGTATCCAAGTGCGGACAGCTGATCCCATGAGCAAGTGGACCCTTTTCTTTATTTTGAATTTCTGCACCTCTACTGATCCCATGCGCAAGTGGCCCATGCGTATTTTCCTCTTTGCTAACCGACCCCTGTTGGGGTGCGCTTGGCTTTAAGCTTTTGCCGACCCGGTGGCCCCCATGATCCTTGCTTTCTCTTTGCTAGCCGATTCCAACTCCAGTCGGGTGCGCTTGGTTTTGAGCTTTTGCCGATCCGGTGGGTCCCATGCCTCTTGGTTTCTCTTTCCTAGCCGATCCCAAATGGATTGGGGTACGCTTGGTTTAAAGCTTTTGCCGATCCGGTGGGTCCCATGCCTCTTGGTTTCTCTTTGCTAGCCGATCCCAACCCTAGTTGGGGTGCACTTGGTTTTGAGCCTTTGCCAATCCGGTGGGTCCCATGTCTCTTGGTTTCTCTTTGCTAGCTGATCCCAACCCCAGTTGAGGTGCGTTTGGTTTTGAGCTTTTTCCAATCTGGTGGGTCCCATGCCTCTTGGTTTCTCTTTCCTAGGAGCACTTCCAGCAGTGAGAATGTTGCCATGGGGGGGGGGGGGGGGGGGGGGGGGGGCTAGGGCTAACTATTCATGGGAATAGTGTCTGTCCTTGCAAAAAGTAAGTTGCACTTCCAGCAGTTGCCATGGAAGGGGGGTACTATTCAATTTTTTGTTTTTTTCACAAATTTGTTTACCTAAATAATTAATTTGGACAATATTTTCGGATGAGATTTTCTGATAAACATGGAGGAGGTCTTGGAGAGGCAAGAGCGAGAAATAAGAGAAAGAAGGCGTAGACGAGTTGCAAGCAAAAGAGCGCAGAGAGATCTAGATCAGCAACTTGTCATGGCCGTGGCCATGCTTGATGAAGAAAACTAGAGCAGTCGTGGTTCACATGAAGGCCGTGCCCCAAATGTTGACAGACATAGGCATTCTCGGGGTAAGAATCTTATGGAAGATTATTTTATCCCAACATCTCTGTACTCTGATGTTCATTTTCAAGGGAGGTATATAATGCAACAACATTTGTTCAATAAAATTATGCATGATATTTGCAATTTTGATGAATACTTTGTTCAAAAGAGAAATTGTGCTGGTGTTTTGGGACTGCTTCCTGAACAAAAGTTCACAACTGTTATACGAATGTTGGCGTATGGTCCATCTGCTGATCAGGTGGATGAGATTGCCCGGATGGGGAAGTCCACTGCCTTGGAGAGTTTGGTTAGATTTTGTGATGCAGTCGAAACTCTGTACATCAGGGACTACTTGCGCCGACCCACGCCCAGGGACCTACAACGACTTCTGCAGAAAGTCGAACAGAGAGGATTTCCAGGAATGATTGGTAGCATCGACTGCATGCACTGGCAATGGAAGAATTGCCCAACTGCTTGGCAGGGTGAGTACGGAAATCGGAAAGGCCAAAAAAGCATCATCCTTAAAGCCGTTGTAGGTTTCGATACATGGGTTTGGCACGCCTTTTTCAGAGTTGCTGGATCTCAAAATGACTTGAACGTTCTGGGTCAATCCCCGGTTTTCAATGATGTTTTGAGAGGAGAAGCCCTAGAAATCACATATGAAGTCAATAATACCGTCTACCAAACTGGGTATTATCTAGCTGATGGGATCTACCCGAGGTGGACAACATTCGTGAAATCACTTCCGCATCCCCAAACCCAGAAGCAAAAATTATTTGCTACATATCAAGAGGGTTACAGAAAGGATATGGAGAGGTGCTTTGGTATCCTCCAAGCTCGGTGGGCGATCATTAGGGGTGCGGCACGTATGTTTGATGAGGAGGTGTTGAGGAGCATCATGATGACATGCATCATCCTTCATAACATGATTGTGGAGGATGAGTATGATTACGAAGCTAAAGAGGTGTACGAACCCGATCCCATGAAGACGGCCTTGACCCGAATTTATGAAAAACCAATAGGGCCAAATGGAGGACCAATGGAGCATGAACCGTTGGTTAGAGATGGTCTTTTCATGAACCGTATGATTGATTGATATACGGAGATGCAATCTTTGTATATTCATGAACGCCGTCAAGTTGACTTAATGGAGCATTTATGGGCGGTGAAAGGCAATGACGGTGAATGAAGTGAAGTGAAGAACATTTTTAAGATTTTAATGTTTATGTTTTATGTTTAGTTATGTTTGGTTTTTTTATGCTTTGGTTGTGGTTTGTTTGTGGTTTGTTTGTTTTTATATTTTTAATGCTTTGGTTGTGGTTAGTTTTTTTATGTATTGAATGTTTTGAATAAAAAGGAATTTTATTTAATAGTTTCTTTGGTAACTCAAAGAAAACCAATACTACTAATAAAATAAAATACATGAATTCCAACTAATTTTTAAAACAAAACATTAAAATACAATGAAATGAAAAGGCAAGCAAACTAACTTAAGGGTTTTCATCATTTAACCAATATGTATTGCTAGGTCCATCATCACGAAAAAGTCTTCGTCTCATAATAGCCTTTCGTTCTAGCTTCCAATATTGTTTTGTTTCAGGAGACATGTGGCTTGTATCCATGGCCATGGTTTCCCGATCCTTCTTTTCTTCGTTTTCTTTGCGTTGATACTCCCTTTCTTTAGCAAATTCTATTGCCATTGCCCTATCATCTTCTTGGACTTTCTTGTCTATTTCAATTCTCAAGGCGCTTTGCCTTGCAATTTCCTCCAAAAATTTAGAGGTATTACTCGTAGAATTAATTCCTCTCTTTGCCTTCGACGCCTTCCTCCCAATAGGCCTCGGCTCCTTTTGAATGGGTGAGTCTTCACTCATAGGGGATTCCATAGGCGAATCCGAAGCTTGTGAATCATGGAGTGGCGTCTCGTTTAACACCACCGTTGGAGCCATTGGAATAATGCTAAATCTCTTACAATGCTTCACCACCTCCCAACATTGGGTATGGTTGAAATTTTTTTTCCCTTGTCCAGTAGCACCATACCACATTTGAGCTTGCACAATCTATATATATAAAAAAAAATTGAATAAGCAAGGAACTTAAAAAAATATTGGTAATGCAAAAAAGATAAACATATGAATGAAAATCCAACAAATATGAACAAAATATAGAGAATGCAAGAAACATTCAAATAAATATGAAAATACAAGAAATATTAACAAAATATAGAGAATGCAACAACCATTTAAATAAATATTAGAAATACAAGAAATAATAACAAAATATAAAAATTGCAAGAAACATTTAAATAAATATGGAAATACAAGAAATATTAACAAAATATACCAATTGCAAGAAACATTAAAATTAAAATTAATAGGACATTAAAATTAATAAAATGAAAATTACAAATAATTTACCTCATCGCTGAGATTTTCCCCGCTTGCATGGTTATTCATCACTTTTGTGAGGGCATCTCTCCATTTCCCCAACTCTTTGTTGAGAAGTTTCCACTCACTTGACAATGCGCTTTCCGTACGGGTGGAACCCGATCTTTCAACAAATTCGTGAAGAATTTTTTTCCATATTTGACTGAATTTCATCTCATTACCCAATATGGGATCATGACTAATTTGGACCCAACACTCACACAACAAGACATCTTCCATGATGCTCCATGCCCCTCCAGTTCTTGAGAAAAAGCCATAATGATAGAGAAAAATTAAACTTGAAAATGAAAACAATTTAGAGTAAAAAATGAAGAAAATATTGAATAGAAAGTGAATAATAGTTGGAGAAGGAGAAGATGTATGAGAATTTGTTGTTAAAACTGAAGAGTAGGTATTGGTATTTATAGAAAAAAAAGTCAGTATTTTTTGGGATTTTTAAAAAAAAATTTACGATTTTTTTTCATAATTTTTTGCCTTGAAAAATGCAAGGCCGTTGGATTGGATGACAAGGCGAAATCGGAAGGACGAGAGGCCGCCACGTCGCACATAGCCGTTGGGCGAAAAGCTAACGCGCGATTTTGAATTTTTTGAACGTTGGCATGCATTGCGTGCTGACATCACCGCGCACTTGGGCTCTCGCTCGGGCTCCCTCCGCCTTCAGGCCAGCCCAGGCACATGGACCCCACTCTGCCCGAGCCAGCCTTCCTTGCTGAAAGTTCGTTTTGGGCTCTCCCTCCCCCCCCCCCCCCCCCCCCCCCCAGCCCGAGCCCGGGGGTGCTGGAACTGCTCTAGTCGATCCCAAATGGATTCCAATGCCCCTGAGTTGTCCTTCAGAACCCATGCGCCTTTGGTTCTTCAACTTATCCAAGGTGTCCATGCTTTTTTTTTCTTCTTCTTCTCTTTTTTTCTTGCACTTGAGCCGTCCATGCGGGCCCCAAAACCCTTAGCTGTCCTTCCGGACCCATGCGCCTTCGGTTTCTCAACCGATCCAAGGTGTTCACGAACCCTTTTTTTTTCTTCTTCTTCTTCCCTTTTTTTCTTGCACTTGAGCCGTCCATGTGGGCCCCAGAACCCCTTAGCTGTCCTTCCGGACCCGTGTGCCTTCAGTTTCTCAACCGATCCAAGATGTTCACAAACCTTTTTTTTTTTTGGCTGACCTTTTGGACTCCACATGCCCTCGGTTTCTCCTTTTCGTTTTCACCAACTCCCAAGTGGTCCACGATCTAGTCTTTGTGTGAGGGGGTGAACAAGCCTAGCTCCATAGATGTACTTACTACCTTGCATCACTTATTGCTTACATTTGTTGCTCTTATTTGTGTTTTGTCGAAGCGCATGTAGCTTTCTGTCAGGGAAGCGCATGCGTTGGGTAGAAATAATTTTGATTGGTCATATCAGACCAGGCTTTTTTACTAGAGCCTAAGGCAAATATCCGAGCCGGCCACATCGAACTTTATCTTTGCTTTTGAAAAACTTCTTCCCGCGACTTCTGTGAAAAAGGTCGGTCAAGAGATACATTCACTCGTAAAGCCATTTATACTTCGCTTTTGTTCTTCATATATAAGGTGTAGGCGCGAAGGGAGAGGAAAGTGTGTTGTGCGTTTGAGAACTCCGCCGAAGGGTTCTTGTTCTTGCCACCACCTAGTAAGTACTATTTTCATCTTTGCTATTTTCATGTCGAGCCACAAGATTTGGCCCAAGTCCGGTGGTGTCCCACTGAACTACGAGATACTTAAGACTCGCACTAAAGGATGTGTTCCCGACAACGTGGGGATCGATCTTCAGCCTTTGGGGTCGGATATATACACTGGTGCCAGTATCCCTCGGGGTTCCTTAATTCTCTCGTCGGCCCACTTAGAGCATGTTAGGTTTCCACTCCATCCCCTCTTTCATATGCTCCTATTCTTACCTTCTCATAACTGGGTTTCTAGCTGTCGGTTTGAAATGGGGTGTGTCCCTTAGCTTTAAGAATTTCATTTACTTCTACGACTTGGCTTGTGTTAGGGGGGGAAGTCCTTATTTCTTTTTTATGTATGGATCTGGTAAAAAGGTATTTACTTGTAAGCCCACTTCCACCAAGTACTAGAAAAACCAACATCTCTTAATCACTAGGGAGTGGGCGGTGCCTAAGATGTCTAACATGCCTATCCCGTTGGCGTTTGGGTGAAAACGTGGTATACATATTTATGTCTTTGAAATACAGCTTATTGTGTTTTTGCAGGTCTAACTAACCTCTTTTTTGGCAGTGCTTCCTTCGGACAAAAGGTATCTCCTTCCTGAGGACCGAATCGCTTGGTTGGAGGAGAACTTGGCTTGTCGTGGGTGGGATATCATAGGCTTCCTTGATCCTGCTACTCTCATTCATCTCTCCACTGCTCGTCGTTCGGCGACTTATCTCCCGTTCATTTTGGCTAATCCAAACCTGCGTGAAATAGACTTGTTCAAAGACATTTGTTCCGTCAATGTTGAACTTTGTTGCACCGAGGATTCAATGTCTCTTATCCAGGCCAACTTTCAAGAAAGGGAGGCTGAGTTAGCTCAATACAGCAACTCCGAGGACTGTGTATCCGGGTTGAGTCTGATTGATTAGATATGTCAGTGCCACGCTCATTGTTGGTCCCGAGCCAGGAGACCGGGAAAAGAGCCCGAGCCCTCCGGTTCTGCGAAGAAGTCCCGCCATGCTTCACAGGTCGTTTTGGGTTTGGGCTCACCCAATGTATTTGCTTCGAGTACTCCGTCTCGACCTTAGCAAGTCCCTCGTGCCCCCACTCCCGCTAGCTCAGTAAGCGAGAATGACTTCACGACCATGACTGACGAACAGATGTGAGGCTACCAATCACAATGCTTGAACGCGGTACGTTTGGGATTTGTCCTGGTGTCATCCAATTGCCATGTCCTATCATAGTTGCCTGTTTAATGCTCACTTTTTATTTCTTGCAGATGGTTGGAATTCGCAACACGCAAATGACGAGGTTTCAGGCTGTGAGCCGCGAGATATGCGAAAAAATGGGAACCCTCGAACTTAGTGGGAATCGCATCAAGGAATGTGAGACTGAGCTCGAACAGCAGCGGGACGAACTGCGAAACCTGAGAAGTAGCCAAAGCACTGTACGGATGAAGGTTGAACGCCTTAAGCAAGAACTGGTGGATGCTGCACGTAATAGGGACAAGGAGTATCAAGCCAACACCAAGTAGATCAGGGTTGATATGGCCAAGCAATTGAGATACGGTTGGGTTCAAGGTTAACAAATCCCTAAGCACCGGTTTGTGGTGGGCCCAGATGACTATGATGATGAGTTAGAATTTGACCCTGCTGGCTACGAACTTTTTCAAGTTATGCACCTTGATGATCGTCCTCCGACGGGTTACATCCCTCATCACAGGATCCCACCAGCAGCCTTTCATGGCCCAACCCCTTCTGGGTTAGTTGGGACCATTGTCCATAGTGCTAATGTTGCATCGTCTATTGCCAGTACTGGGCCCGTCCTTAGATTTACGGGCTTCACCTCACCTGCTGGATTTTCCACTTGTGCTGGGCCTACCTCGAAGGCCATTCCTGACCCATTTGATGATGCGCCCTAGGTTGCTTTGTTTCGTTCACTACTTGTTGTATTTTCTTTTCGGTTTTGTTTTTGTTTTGATGTACTCAACTATCTTGGGTTCGTTCCCAGAACTCCTGACTAACTGTATCAGACTTTATAAGTTATGCACTTAATTTGAATTTTAACCCTGACGTAAGTGCCTGAGGCTTAACGTGATGGTTTTTCAAACCTGGCCAAGATCCTCTCAGGATGAATTGCCATTTTCAAATTCAAAAAGCAAGGATTGGATATCCTATTGCCTTCACATTACGCCCTTACCAGGTGTTCCTTTGTGAGCTACGTCTCTAAGTAAACCTCTATATAAAGAGTAGTTTGGTTTTTAGGTGAACATACCTATCTCACTCGTGGCTCATAGACGCAAGCTAAAACTCCACTTCCCCCTTTGCGCAGATGTTCCAAAAAAAGGAGATTCTCCGAGAAGGAGGACTTCATCTTTGTCAAGGAGGGAGTCCCCGCAGTGAGATTCCAAGAGCCCTAACGAAATCATTGAGATATGTTCTCAAGATTCTTCTGCTGACTCTCCGGCGAATGCTTCAGATTACTAGGAGGTCCCCGATTCACTTCATGGGTCTAGGTCCCGGTGTGGTGATGCCAGAGGTGGAGGAAAGGCTACTACGAGAAGGAGTACCCCAAGGGCGTGGGATGAAGCTGGTCCGTCTCGTGTTCCTCGCTGCTTCTGTCACTTCGACCATAACATGTTGCTGATGGAACGCGACCTACTCAAGGGCGTGGGATGTGTCAGTGCCTAAGTGACTCGCCTCCAAAGTGATCTTACTGATGCAGATCGCGCCGTGTCCACCGCTCATTCTGATGGCATACGTGACGAATTTAGACAGGGTATCCACCACTTCTGCACCAAGGCCAAAATGATTTACCCTTACGTGGATTGGGATCGTCTCCTCTTGCCATCAGACTAGCCTGTGGTACTTATGGGTTCGCACCTGTAGAGTTAGTAGTTTTATGTACTTTCTAGCTTTGAATAATTCGGAGGCCTTCCTCCTATAAACATTTCATGTTTTTCCTTTTATGGCCATACGGGCTTAATGCTATTATTATGTTTAATCATGTGGTCTTCGACCTTGTCACATGCGTATTCTTATTCATGTTGCTTGATCTTTAACCATGTCATGGTCCCCAATCATGTCGTAATCTCCGATCACTTCTTTATGCGCGATTTCCAATCACATCTTTATGCGCGATATCCAATCGCTTCTTCATGCGTGATCTTCGACCACGTCTTGAATGCGATCTTCAATCGTACTTTTTTGCTTTTTGGCCAAGCACCTTCTGTGCCCATGGATTAGTATATGCATTTTCTTATTTACAAGGTCTTCGACCACGTGAATTCAAGTTATGCTAATTTAAATAGACATGGCCTTCGACCAAACAGTTCGAATGTGAAGAAAACATGTGTTCCATTAAGCATTCATCGAACGATGGACAATTTAGGGAAAAATCAAAGAAATGATAGAAAGATGAAAGCGACAAAGAAATGAAAACTATAAAATCAAAGAAAATACTTCCTCAGATGAATTGCATTCCAAGGGCGTGGTACATATTGACCACTCTCGATATGCCTCAGCATATAGGCCCTTTTTCCGTAAACCTCCGTTACCTTGTATAGTCCTTCCCATGTCCATCCAAATTTTCCTGCTTTTAGGTCCTTGGTATTCTCCATGACCTTTCTGAGTACCCACTCGCCTACTTTCAATTTCCTTTGCCGTACTCGTTTATTGAAGTAATTGGCTGCCTGGTTCTGGTAGTTCGCAAGTTGTAACGCTGTAGCTTCTCGCTATTCTTCAAGCATGTCAAGGTTGTGAGCTAGTTGTTGCTCATTATCGTTGCTTTCTACCACCAAAGTCCTGACTGTGGGTAGTCCAATTTCTGTGGGGATGACGGCTTCAGTTCCATAAGCCAAGGAAAAAGGGCTTTCGCCGGTTGGTTTCTGTTTAGTAGTGCGGTATGCCTATAATACGTTTGGCAGTTCCTCTGACCATTTGCCTTTGTGTTGTTCAAGCCTTCTCTTCAAGCAATCAAAGATCGTACAATTAGTTTTCTCGACGTGTCCATTTCCTTGAGGATAACTCTAGGACGAGAATTGTTGAATGATCCTTTTTTTCTCGCAGTAACTTCTGAATTTAAGGTTGTCGAACTAGGTTCCTTTGTCCGTCGCAATGGCCTTTGGTATCCCAAAACAACAAATTATATTCCGCCATAGGAATCTTATCACATCTGTTTGGGTCACCGTCTTGTAAGCCTCGGCTTCCACCCACTTGGTGAAGTAGTCAGTGGCCAAAAGGACGAACTTCTTGCCCCCCACTGCGGTGGGAAGTGGTCCCACTATGTCCATCCCCCAGGGGGCGAATGGCCAAGGCCCTACAACAAGGTTAAGTTCCTCGGCTGGTTGTCTAATAAGGGGTGCATGCCTTTGACATTTATCGCATTTCTGTGAAAATTGTTCTGCATTGCGGGCCATGTAAGGCCAAAAATATCCTTAGGTCAATGCCTTGTGGGCTAAGCTCGTCCCACCTGTGTGGTTCCCACATGTCCCTTGGTGTATTTCTTTTAGCACCCATTCGGCTTCACGTGGATCGAGGCATCTGAGATATGGCCCCGAAAAAGACTTACGAAAAAGTGTATCATCTATATTGGCATACCTTGCGGCATTTATTCGTAATTTCCTTGCCTCGATCAGGTCATTGGGTTGGGTTCCCTTTGTGAGATAGTTCATGATTGGAGTCATCCACGTTTCTTCTTCGGCATCAATCTGGATAACTCCAGGATCAATTGGTATACTGGGACTCGATAAGAGTTCCACCGGGGCGACCCTCATGTCTTCCACTGATGCTAATGCAGTGTGGGCCAAGCGATCTACCTGAACGTTCATTTCTCTCGGTATTTGTTCAAACTTTATTTTTTCGAACCTGCTGGCTAAATCCTTTACCAACCATTGATATGCCCCTATTCGTTCATCCTTAGCCGCATACTCCTCAGTTGTCTGGCCGACTATGAGGCGAGAGTTGCTATGGACAATTAAGTGTCCCACCTTCAGTGTCCTAGCTAGTTGGAGTCCTAACACTAGGGCTTTGTATTCCGCCACGTTGTTTGAAGCGGGGAAGTCTAATCGGACGGAATACTCCAGGTCCACTCCTTCAAGCGACGAGAGCACGATTCCCACTCTTGCTCCTGCCTGATTAGATGATCCGTCTATATACAATTCCCATTGGGCCTTGTCCAGGTTTGATGCCTCCTTGACTTCATCATGGTTTTCTTGTTGTTTGTTAGGTGGATAGCATTCTACTAGGAAATCGGCAATTACCTAGCCCTTCTAGGTTGTCCGAGTCAGGGGACTAGCGAGGTACTTCTGGCTTGGACATAACTGCCCTGATTGGTTGGGTCGTCAATACGATGATCGTGTGTGCCTCGAAGTATTGTCGAAGTTTCCGCTTGGCCGTCACTAAAGCTAACACGAGTTTCTCAGCCAGTGGATATCTTTTCTCGGCCTCAATTAAGCTCTTGCTCACATAAAATATAGGTTGCTGGAGTGAATTTTCCTTCCTTAGCAGTACAACATTTACAGCAATTTCAGTTACAGCCATGTATAGGTATAAAGGTTCACCTTGCTTTGGAATCGTCAGGGTCAGGGGACTGGCGAGGTACTTCTTCAGCTGCTCAAAGGCTTCTCTTTGTTCTGGCCCCCATATGCTTCCGTCCTTATTTCAAATTGCCTGGAAGAATGGCTTGCAACGACCTGACGATCTTGAAATGAATCAGCTGAGAGCCGTTATTCTCCCAGTCAGAACTTGCACATCTCTAGGTGTTCTTGGATCAGGCATATTCCGTAGCGCCTCCACCTTCGATGGGTTGGGCTCGATGCCTCGATTGTTCACTATTTGCCCCAAGAACTGCCCTGCCTTCGGGTTAAGCCGCATGTGATATCTCCTTCGTATGTTGAAGACTTCTTCCAGGTGCCTAACATGTTGGGATTTTTCCTGGCTCTTGACTACCATGTCATCGATGTAAACCTCCATCGTTTTGCCAATCTAGCATTTGAACATCTTGTTCACTAATTTTTGATACGTCGACCCTGTGTTCTTCAGCCCGAATGGCATCACTGTGTAACAATACAAGTCTCCCTTAGTGAACATGTCCTTATTCTCTCTTAATAACTTCATTAGTTGGTCTACCTCATCTTAATATAGGAGGGAGCCCACCAACACTTTTCTATTAGGATAAGAGGGATCCAGAACTTCTTCCTTGAGTGGTTCGATCATCAGAAGCTCTAAGTTATCCTCCTCCTCTTGTTCTGGTGGGTCCTCCGTTAATTGCTATAAATCCTCACTCTGCTGCGAAGTCGCATCCATAAGGTTAGTTGCTATACTATAGCATCTTCTGGCCTCCACTTGATCCCCCTTGATATCAATTGTGGTTCTCCCATCTTCGAATATGCACCTCATCACCTAGCAACGTGTCAATGCTTCTCCATCCATTCAATGAATCCAATTCCTTCCCATTATAGCATTATACGCGCTCAGCGCATCTACAACTACGAAAGTAACAAATAGGGTCTTACCTGCGGCAATGACCGGCAGAGTCACATCTTCGATCGGTTGTGCTTTCGTCCCTTCAAATGCGTAGATCGGTGTTGGGTTTGGTTGAATCTCATTTTCATCCAGCTTCATTATTTTGAAGGTGCTCCAAAATAATACATCTGCGCTACTTCCCCTGTCAATCATCACTCTTTTTACCATCGAATTGGCAACACGGAGGGTCACCACTAATGCGTCGTTATGAGGGAACTCAATTCCTTCCATGTCTTTCTGCGTGAATGAGATGACTGTAATCTTTTCCAGGGCTTTGGCAGATTCAGAGGTAGATGTGATCTCGTTTATGCGTCTCACCTTTTCGGCTCGTCTTTTTTCGAACCGGGATCGAGCCTCTTTTCCTTCCACGAGATTCAATTGACCATGGATGGTGTTGATCTCCAGCAGTTCTTCATTTGCGATATTACCGGTCATTGTTTTTGACCCACCCTCTTCACTTGCCTTATTCTTAGATTCAGCGCGGTACTGGGATAACATTCCCTTTCTCAGCATTGCCTCCACCTGATACCAGAGACTTCGACACTCATCAGTATTATGTCCAAAGTCGTTATGATAGGCGCACATCTTGTTCCTGTCTCGCTTTTCTGGGGATTCGCGAATCGCAGGTGGTGTTCGAAATATACCTTTGCCCTTGTTCTCATGAAATAGTTTGGCTAAACTCACTATGAGCCTGGTGAAAGGTCGACTTTGCTTAGGTCTGTTGCTAGGTTCTTGTCTTGAGGAATATCGCTTCGTCTCCACCTTTTGCTCCGGTGGAGGCTTTGGGATCGCAATGGTGGAAGTGGGGCGTTGTGAGTGGGTGAACTCTTCTTCTTCTAGTTTGATGATTCCATCTGCCCGGGCCATCACTTCCCTCATATCCACTGGTGGGGTCTTCACTAAAGACCTATGCATTTTTGTTCCAGGTACGAAACGCCAACGAAGCAGTATGAGAATCACATTCCTCAAGAGTAGACATTTCCTCCGTAAAACGCCTCAAGTAGTCTTTAAGGCTTTCTCCAGTACTTTGCTTCGTGCTGAAGAGGATCGTGACATCCTTTCTCCTCTTTTGATTGCAAATGTACTGAGATATGAACATTTCACAGATTTGGGTGAAACCACCAATAGACCTTGGTTTCAGCTGTCTAAACCAAATCAGGGCCGATCCTGACAAGCTTGAGGGGAACAACTTACATAACAGGGCCTCGTCATCTCCTTTGAGCACCATTTGTTGTTGGAAATGATAGATATGCTCAATGGGATCGGTCGTACCCTCGAACAGCTTAAACTTAGGTTGGGTGAACTTAACTGGCTTCTTGGCTTTCAGGATATCTTCTGTGAATGGCGACTTGCAAATTCTTTTCGCCGCCTCCAAAGCTAGTTCCGTGGGTATTTGTGGCTTGTACCCTCTGACAATCTTCTCAATTTGATTGCGCAAATTGGTGTCCTTCGCCCTTTTCGCCATTTTATGCAGGTCGAGATCTTTGTCTTGATCTTCTGTCGTGGCCTTGTCCCGGACGCTCGAGTGTGTGCTGCTGGAGGAGTCTCCCCCGGAGATCTCATGTCTCTACTCCCTCTTGCCCTCTTTTGAGCCCTCACGGCAAGCAGTGTTCTGCGCCTTTCTCGTTTCGTGCAATTCTTTCATGATTTCCCTCAACTGGATAACAGCAAGGCTTGGTTCCCCATCCTGGGCGTTGGACCTTGCTCTTCCGGGTCAAAGAGTGGACGTCATTCCCCGGGATGGAGGTGTTTGGAGTTCCCTGTGCAGGTTCAGTCATATTTATGATTAACTTTGCGAGATTCCCACAGATGGCGCCAACTGTTGGAGCAGGATTTCTTTCAAGAAGAAATACCTCCACAGGTTCTGGACTGAAGTCCGCACGCTTTCTTGGTTGGAAGAGAACTCCGGATTACGTTCCCGAGGTCGAACGGTGGAAATCGAGTGAGTACCTGCAAAAGACACTCCAACGCTGAAGTCAGTGTTTGTGCAGCGTACTCTTAGTGTTCAATTTAGTTTCTCATACCTTGGCTGGAGGCCTAGCCGGGTTTTTATAGCGCTTCGAGTTCTTGGGTTTGGCCATACTTCCCTAGCTTTGCGCATCCCATCCTCCACTTCATGGTTGTGGGATCAGATGAGTGATTTGCATCTCCCTCGCTCCGCACTTCTCTAGTGGGAGGGAAGCTCGATCATCCCACGTCTTTTGGTTGTGGCATATGGGTTAAGCCATGATAAATGAGATTTGGTCCCCACAATTGTACATGATCCTTTTTTCTTAGAATCAATTTTTTAGTGATTGTTAGTAGGCAAACTAGTTCACCCATTGTGCCCATTGTGAGAAAGCATGTGCACCACACTTAGAAAAAAGTGAATGGCAGGTACACTGCCCATTTTTAGGTCTCTCCCATGCTTCATAGTATACCTAGTTTTGGTGAAACGAACAGTGGCAAAAAGACAATTAATTATATGTGATGGAAATAACCTTTAATCTGAGTGGAAAGAGACCTTCATGTCAATCAAATAATCATTCTAGTACCTTCTATGATAAACCATGATGAAGACAAATGACAATGAAAAACTACATTTATGAAAGAATATGTTTTTCATTCATTAAAAAATAACAATAGGGTTACAGTTAAATAATGTTATGTTGCTTGATTATTAGTTAGAACCGTGTGATTAGATATAATTGTGTCCGAATGGGTTTGATTGACACTAATAAGAAATTTGACGTCTTGCCACGTTAACTTACTAATCGGTTATCTGAAGGGTAATGTATGGTAGGTACCGTGCTCTGCTTATAACATCTACTCCAAAGAGAAGGATAACTTCCTCCTTTATCGCCTATAGTTGACAATAGTTTATAGACAAAACAAATGCCACGCACCTGGTACACCATCAAAAATGGATTCCAAATCATGTAAACCCCCTTTTTTATGACTACCCATTTGATAAGACCCCTTGCAACAGGTACAATATCAAAAAATTCCAAGTAGATGCAAAAAGTAGAATTGGATTGAATAATTAGTCTGAAGAAACATTGGTCCATCAACAACATGATTTGCATCTAGAAAAATGACATGCTAGTAGATACGCCGTACATAAAAAACAACCTCTAATTCTTACAATACTTGGTCAGAGAGCTTCTGAATCATAAACCAAAACAAAACGTAAAACACTTTTGTCCAACATAATATCGCATTCCAAAAATGTAACAAATGCGAAGGTTACCAACATGATCAGCAAGCCATGTACGAAGAAGAGGTCGAGAAGCTCATAAATGACCGACTTAGAGGCTTAAAGATTAGCGGAGATTTCGAACATGCTCTACGCAGGGAAGTGGACCAAGCAAACTCTATGCCTTTCAGGGAGTTAGCTTACGTCTTCACCAAGGAATACAATTCTTACCGGACGATTAAGAAGAATCCTAGCCACCTGTTCAACCTGTACAAGAAGTCCGATGAATCCCTTTGAGATTATATCAAGAGATTCAAAGCAGAAAAGGCCAACATTGCAAGGTGCAATGACTAAATCGTATCCTCTACTTTCAAGAAAGGTCTTCTAGCTGTGCACGACTTATACCGCGAGCTAACTATCACTCCCAACCAGACTTTGGCACATGTCTCCTCGACTGCAGAACACTATGCGCTCTGCGATGACGATCTAATCGCCGCGAAGAAGTCTACCAAGTAAGAAGATTAGCCAACCAAGAAAATGGGTAACACTCATCGACACGTCTTCGTACGTAGGCCAAAGGGGTCACTCACATCGACACGTCTCCGAATGTAGGCCAAACGGTCCATACACATCAACACGTCTCCGGACATAGGCCAAACAGGCCACTCTCATCGACACGTCTCTGGAAGTAGGCCAAACGGGTCACACTCATCGACACGTCTCCGGATGTAGGCTAAACGGGCCATTCTCATCGACACGTCTCCGGACGTAGGCCAAACGAGTCACACTTATCGACACGTCTATGGATGTAGGCTAAACGAGCCACTCTCATTGAGAAGTCTCCAGACGTAGGCCAAACATGCCACAACCCAGAAACACGCAAGCAATTCACAAGACACTATGCGAATTGAAGTTAGAAAAAGCAACTGAATTTTCCATAGCAAAGTGACCAACCGATCGAGTTCAACAAAATGATGGTCAAGCAAGACCAATTATTTTAAACAAGAAAGCATACTACAAAAACTTAAAAAAGAAATAAAGGAGTCTTCATCTACTCCAGGATGCCAGTACGAGATCCTTAATTTCCAGCTTCTTCGGCATCCTCCTAATCAGCCATGCTCTCAGCAACTCCACCTACCTGATCAACGACATCTGCCAACATCTCATCAGCCGCGTCCTCCTTTGCTCCACCCTCTTCAGTTACAGCCTCTTCAGCCACCTGCTCTTCAACTCCTTCCATGTTCGCAGCATTGACCTACTCACTTTGAACATTGAGAAAATCAGGGCAGAGCTCCTCAATTTCTTCATCTCCAATGGCGTATAAGGGAGCATACCCATTTTTGCAGTCCAAACAGCCCAACTTGTAAGCATCCATGGTAGCTTCAAACTTGGATTTTTTAGCAGACTTGTGATAAGCGCGAAATCTAGCCAAGAGCTTGTCATAGCTAAGAGAGATGCCAACATTCTTGTGCTCAAGACGAAAGTATGCATCTTTTCAACTAACCAAGTTAGCAGCAGAAGAAGGGGCAACAACAAATGGGTTCCGGCTAGTTTCAGCAGCAAAAGCTACTCCTTTTTTAAGCAGATGAAATGTTGCTTCCCTTAGTTTTTCCAAGGAAAGACTTGAGAAAGTACCAAGATCGCCAGCCTAAAAGATTTGATCAACCAGCTCAGCACAAGTGGATGGACTTGATAGGAAGTTCGTCTTGAGTATATCAAACACACCTGCATCCCTTGCAGGGAAGGACTTGTCCACCTTAGATCAACCGCTGAAGTTGAAGAAGAGCACTTCGCCCGGGAAGATGACTCTCTCGTCTTCTTAGTCGCCTTCATCCTCACCTCCAATGAAGTCAACGACGCTAAATCAACTCCACGCTTGACTGTTCGTGACTCAACAACTAGACCGTGATGGTTGGGCAAATGAGCAAACCTCCAAGTTTGATCTCCATCCTTTCACTAGTGCATACATCTCTTTGCCTTTCTACAAGTGAACCAGTTCATAGTGTAGATCATGGTCTCCAAGCTTGTCTGCAGGAGGCTTGAGTGGAACATCCAGAATATTGCCCCCACCACCAATCTTCTTGCTATATGCATCAACGAGATGTTTAACCCCAGTTGATGACATGGAACAACTCCTACTTTAGTCTTCTCAGCAGAAGGGATCCTTGGCTTCTTCCTCAACTGAGACACATCCTTTGCCCATGAAGTCGCAGCTTCATTTCTTGAAGACTTGAGATCAGCCTTCCTTTTTGACGGGGGTGTCTGGCAGAACACTCCTCCTGCCTAGTTGGCAGGTCAGCAGAGTCTGGACCATTCTACTTCCATCTCTCAACATCCTGGGCAAGGGCCAGACCACCAACTTCCTTCGAATACTCTCACAGCAACCACCAGCGGCCACTATCGCTCCTACCGTCCTCGGCTGCCAGTCACATAGACAACTAGCCTGGTCCCACCCAACTGGCCCTCATCGCGAAAAAGAAAAGACGAAGAAAAAATATACATGCTCAACTTACCTTGGGATGCACGGCAACTCTTCTCTTCGACACACAATACAAATTCTCCAAGATCTCTCTCAAGCTAGAAAGTAGAGAAGTTAAGTTTGTGATGTGAAGAAGAGCGAAGAGAAGCTCTGCATTTATACAGGTTGGGCATCCTAGGTCAAGAAGGAATCACAAGCCCATTCCTATTGGGAACCCAACTCTAAGAAAAGTCAAAAGCCAACTTGGTGTTCAGAAAATTAGCAAGACAAAAACCTCATCCGAGCAAGAGCCCAAATCCAAGAAGGAAGCCCAATTATAGTTGGATAGCCCAACAAGCAATCCACATCTCCTACATGCCACCATGCGCCATGCAGAAGTTGGGGGGCATTTGTGGAAACCGAATTTTAGCCAAACCCTAGGTCAAATATGCCCTTCCATTTGGGGATTATTTGACTTAATTGGGAGTTATTTGATTCAATTGGCAATTATTCAATTCTTACCCTAATTAGGGATTTGATTTAAAACAAATCCCTAATTACGTCAATCTCTTCAAATTGGGGAAGAATAAACTTCTGTCTAAAACTCTACAGAGATTCCACCTCATAAACCCTAGCTGCCATAACTTTTTCTCTCTCTCACACAAGGCTCCGGCCACCCGATTCGCACCATACATACATCTTCATACCCTTTTTAGCTATTGTTTCTCTACGAATCAATTGAACTAACATAGGCATCAGAGGGCCTTTGGCCAAACCCTTTGGGTGTGATCCTCTTATTCCGATTTATTTTACAGGGAGAAAGAGACGGCGAAGAGGAAGACGGAATCTTAGACGAATATTCTCGTGGCACGAAAATCGCTCCCACAGTTATCATCACACTTTTGCAGGAATTCCTAATTGATTGAACAATTTGACCAAATTGTTAAACACATTAACAAGTACAGTATCATTTAGTTATGCTTTATTTACCTACCATATGTTTATAAATGACCACATATACATGTTAATTGCTGGTTATATGATACATTATTAAAAAAAAACGTGTAAAAACAAATTGTATGCAGCATGAAACATTATAAAATAAAATAAAACACAGTAAAAAAAACATTACTCAAAGACCAGCAGGTACACTATCCCTAACGTGTAAAAGATGCCATCAATTTTTTCCCCTTACATTACTTCTTGCTAATTTGATTTGATAAAATTTAATGAGAGCCAGATGGATGATCATACCTAGCAATACGTTATCATCATGAGTGAGTTATGTTTCAATGATGCATCACTGATTATCCCAGTTTGCAAAGTCTCCCCGAATGAATCAATGACCTACAATCAGAAGTATTTATGAACTAAAGTTTAATAATTTAAAATTCAAATTTAACAACATACATTACACGTTATAGCAGCCTTTGTTAGCAAATCCATCAGGTCGTCCTTATAAATAGCCGAGCACAATCCTTGCCAAAGTGGTACCCTAATTTCCGAAATAAAATTACATTACATTACACAAACATATGGCATTCAATTTTATTATGCATGTATTGGGGAAAAAAATATAGTGGACATACTCACCCAGAATCAGTGTAAAGGAGGAAACGATGAAGTTTGTCCTCATCTTCGTTTGATAAGTAAATCCACACCGACATGCAAGAACGATCAATACTTGTAGATGTTTGTTGCATCCTTTTTACTCCATTATGACCACCATATAAAGTACCTATTTTGAATTCATCAACACTCCACGACTCTTGTTGTTTTCCTTTGTACAGAGTCGGTTCCTTGACAATCTCATTTAGTCCGGTTTTCACAACTGCATGTTTTTATTCGTCTGCCTTTGCCTTTTTAGGCTCCCTTAATGTCTTGATCCCTTCGTACACATACCCTGACAATCATTTTGGTCTCTTGTGTTTATGTTTCAGCCTTATTACCCATGATTTTAGCTCAGGGGGGACTCGTTATTTTTAAACCCTTTCTCTTGTTCACTACGGTCGAGAAGTTGTTATACGTCGTTTGATAAATCATTACTCTACTTGCGTGCATCTGCCACACTAACTTCAGCATTAACACATAATTCGTTGTACAACACAGCTTGCACCTGTGCTTCCTTAAGTCTCAATTTCAACTTCTTGATTTTTTCCTTCATTAACCTATTTTCTTCATTAACCAAACTCTCTTGCTTTCCTTCTAAATTAGGCTTGGGATTTTTAGGGGTTATGGGGGGACTCTTCATGCCCACATCCAGTGCTATCTCCATGTAAAATAATGTCTTGTGTGCTAGTGAGTTGAAACATTTTGGACGGGTCAAACTTTGGGATGGTACTTGTAGTAAACACATTTTTGTTTCAGAATTCAGTAACACGCGTTTTGCAATCCAAACTAGTGGGCACTGATGACAACCATTTTCAACAACTTCCTACCAGTCAAGAAAAATGGGTAAGTAAATAAAAATTTACCTACCTACTAGACGGAAATGGCAAAATACAATTGAAGGCCATACATGTTAAACCAAAAAACAACAGGTATATTAAACCAAATAGAAAAGTATGGTATAATTGATGTACAGCAAAATGAAATCATGTACGGTAAACAGAAAAATGTAATACTTAAAATAGAAATAGGTCCATTGCAAAAACAAATGAAATTCAGGTACATCAAAACAAAACAAAAAAGTAGTCACACTGGTACAAAACCTCTTTAGCAGCAACACCTTTGATCACATGTGTCGACCTCAAATATTTTTTTGAAGGTACGTTAGACTCATTTCCAACTTGAGGTACACCACTAGGTGGTTTGTATGTCAACCAGTAGTTGGTTCACCACACACCTCTTCAACAACCTGCGCTAAAAAAACATAATATTAGTCACACTAGTTCATTGCAAAAAGAAAAAGAAATTCAAGTACATCCAAAAAAAATCACTATGCATATATACAAAACCTCTTTAGCAGCAACACCATTGATCACAGGTGACAACCTGAAATTTTTTACCAAAGGTACATTGGATTCATTTCCAACTTAAACACTAGGTGATTTGTATCTCAAGCAACCAGTAGCCGATCCACCACACACATCTTCAAGCACCTGCATTAAAAAATATATATATTAGTGACACATGAATGGATTCAGTAACATGTTTTGTAATCACTACCCAATATTAAATTACCTGATCTTTTTTATTTCCAATACTCGCAATCACTGGTGTCATACTAGAAACATCTATGTTGCACATTGATGATTGCAGGTTTTGTATGTCCCACTTAACAAATTTGGGAGGTACATCCATTCTATCTTTCAAGGGCTCAATCAAATGAATTTTCTCACAAAACCAAAACTAGTTTCATTCAACGATTAGTGAACTGTTGTCTAATTGAAATGAAAATAAAAATAGAATAAAACTATCATAATTAGAAAACATATCGGGAATGTAGCAACACAACCAGAAACGAATGGTGGCTTTTCGTAATTTTTCACAAGCTGCCTTTCCAAAAAGTCTGAAGTCGCTTTTGCCCAATTATATTTTGGTATTGTTCTTACATCTTGACAGCACGAAGCTATGTTCCAAAAGATTGTATTACCACTGTTACAGAACAACAAAGTAATACAAAAATGCAGACATATAAGGCATACGAAATCTTCATAGTCTTGTTGTGTTTTCCCTGTAACTACTTTAGACATTGCAGACTCAATATTTTGCCTGCTAACCCTTTCAGATACTATAAGGTTCGTTTTCACAAAATCTGCGTCATCTTTCGAACTCTGCTATTTAATATTTATCTCATAACCAGCATAGGGCAATCCAAAAAATTCCTCAATATCAAAACTAGTGAACTTTTCAAGACTACCACCAATTGTGAAGTCCCTAGTTTTAGAGTTGAAATACTTTATTATGCTAATTATATCTATATATGTCTTCTTACACATGTTTTCAATAACCAGCCCTTTGTCAAAAACTTTGAAAAGACCCCCAAATGGTGTTTTCCTTATAATTTCACGATGTTCATCCTGAATACTCTTTCTCAAACCATTAAAAACGTTAAAAAAAACAGGGCCCAAAACTAGATCTATATTGCATTTTTCCAAACTCTTTCCTATTCAATTCCATATCACCTACAAACACAAAACAGTACATACCCATAGTCGTCATTAACCTGTTTCACAATGTTCTGTAATCCCAGTATCCAACACTATTACTGGAACAAAAAAATCATTGTTTGTTGGATAGGTGGACTAAACATGATCAGAATAATTAACTTATCCAACTCAAAGAAAATGAATACAACTATTATTAGTATAGAGGAGTATCTTAAAAAATATATAGAAAAAAGAAAACGTAATCATATATAGCAAAACCTGTTGTAAAAGCACAAGATAACAAAAGCAACAATTTTCTTTGATGACCCTATTGTCACGTTTAGGTCAACTAAATAACCTGTAGGCTGTAGGTACATAACTAGTTTTTACAAAACCAAAAATCATCAACACCAGAATTTCGTGTAGGTAAACTAATAAGAATGGGAATAATTTACCTAACTAACTAAAAGAAAATAACACATCTGCCATCAGTATACAAGAGTATCTCAAAAAATGATACATAAACAAAATCACTTGGGACTTTCATCGAACACGTAGTGTGCGCCAAAACCTAACGGACTAAGAGTGTGATCAGTATGACACAAAACACAAAACAATTTCATAGAAGGAGCAAAACTACATAATCAGATTCCCAATAGTACAAATCCACGTTTAGGAATGAATGTGATTAGTAAAAACCCCGTGTAGGTACACTAAATAACCTGTAGGTATATAACATGTTTTACACTGTACTTTAATCCCTTTTTTGTGTAGGTACATAACCCGTTTAACCTGTTTAGGATTGATTGTTAGTTAAACTAATTCCCAATAGTATAAACCCCGTGTTGGTTAACTAATTCCCAATAGTACAAACCCACGTTTAGGAATGATTGTTAGTTAACTAGAAAACTAGATTCACTAAGAGTGTGATCAATATGGCACAAATCACACAAAACAATTTCATAAAAAAAGCAAAACATAAAGTACCTACCACATAACCCAATTTTAAATGTTGTTTTCTGGTTATTATCGAATGAATAATTCATCTATTCGTTGGCATAATTTACTTTCAATCACCCTGCTTCAATAAGCAATACCCAGATACCCAGTTTTGCTCTGGTTAGGACTAACAATCGATGGGGCTCCATGTACATGCAAGAGAGATGTTTTTTACCTGCTATTTGATGGTAGACCACTCACGCTTGCTAATCGATGTCGAATGCTCCGGAATCGAATGCTTCGGTCGGTCTCATCTTCTCTTTACAACTAGTCTAATGAATGGAATGTACCTGCGAACCCAGATTTTAAACGGCATTAGAGAGTTTAGGGGAATCTAATGTTGGAGAATCTATGGTTTCAATGAAGGGAATTGATGAAGACTGAAATGGTGGTAAACTGAAATTTTTTCTAATTGAAACGGTAGTTCTTAGTTTTTTTAAACAGTAAGATGGTTTAGATGCGTTATATACCTACAATGGCAAGTAATGTAAATAAATACAATATTATGACCTCTTTCATCTTAGGGGGCATTATAGTTTGAATTTGGGTTTTCAACATAGTTATATAGATAGATGGGTTTGTGTCTAGGGGATATCAGTTGTATGGGCTTATATTGGAGTCTCTCTATATAAAATGGAAGTCTTACCACTTCTCTCAATTATTTTGTTGGATCTTTCTCAGACACCCATTCAAAGTTGGACATCCAAATGTCAAATTCAGTCAATGAGTCTTCCCACAGAGGAGCTACAAATGCATCTGGAGCCTGAGTTGGGGGAAATGTTAAATCACCTAAGATCAATCTAGGTAAAAAGCCTTAGATATTCAATCCACAAAGAGTTTTTAGCCTTTCAAAACTGTACCTCCGCTAAAAAATTCTTGGGTCCGCCAGTGAATACAAATACAACTATAAAAAGAAAGTTTAAAAACAAATTGATTGATAGTGATAAGGCAAATAACTCATATGTGTTTGTTGTGTCTCTTGCATTTCTTGATCATGTGATGGTTGAGGACATGTAGTCAATGATTTTCGGTTATTACTCTTTCTTCTTTTTCCAATGTATGCCATTTATAATCAAAGAGTAACAAGATCATACGTACTCAAAAGCATAAATAGAAATCACACAAGATGCCTTAATACCTTACTAATTTCACTTAAACCTCTAGATATAAAAGGTACAACTTGCAAGTCAAATACAAAGATTCCATAACCATAGCATTAAATTGACGTGATTGCATTGGAATAAATTAATCTATTGTTGGATTATATTACATATTTATTGGCATCTTGTTCTCTTTGTGTACCCATTTGAAATTGGTAGTTTAAAATACAAACTACTTTTTAGAGTTATTACAGAGAATGAATGATATGCATAGAGCATTTAACGCATATTCCTCCATGGTGTACACATAAATACGTACAACATGTGAAACGATATCCTCATTATTTTACCCATTCATCCCATATCATGACTCGTTATCCATACACAAGTATGGAAATGAATAGGAAAAATAGTTGAAATAGATAATCAGTCTCACCAAGTACTAAGGAAAAACCAAAACCCACTAATATAACATACGTAACGATGACCCTCATTATTTCACCCATTCATCCTGTATCATGACTTGTTATCCATACGCAAGTAGATAATCAAAGGTAATTATTATTATTGAAACAAGACCAAAAAGACCAGAAACCAATTTGTGAAACAATTTCATAGTGAAAGGAAAAATAAAAATCCACAAAGCTAATTATCATATAAAGATCCACAAATCGATTGGTTGAATAGCAAAAACAATACCCACAAGCAAAGAGAGAATTCGTAGACTTACCTCACACTCTCACATTGCAAATAAAAAAAACAGAACAAAAAATAAGAAAACATATGGAAGAAGAAAAAAAAAGGGTTGGAAGCTTTTGGCTAGATAGGGTTACTTATATGTTGTTGCTCGTTTGAGCGTGTGATACTGAATGTGAAGGATTTTTTCTTCTTCATTTTTTGTTGTTGTTGGAGGGTGTACATTTATGGAGACTTAGGATTAACCCAGCCCGAGCGGCATTTTGGATGTTCCCTCCCTTTTTTAGGCTTAGGCTGGAGTTTAATTGGAATTTTTTTTAATGTCTTAATAAAATTCAATCTTGTATGCCATGCATCTTCTGCATATCCAAGTTGTATTCGTAAATCAACCTATTCATTCTTTTTTGTGTTCAAAATAGATGGAGTGAATCATCAAATGCGTTATAGCATTTTCATTTTCTATGGAGTTGTTGAGAATGGGTTATCCTTTGTTTTCCTTTCTATGTACGCAATTTTTTTTTCTATCACTGATTTGCTCATTTGTTCAAGTTGGTTTCATTGATTTATTCTTAATGTTCTGTGCAAAATAAGAATAAGAACTTAGGTAAATCTTGGATGTAGAGAAGATGTTTGTTGATAAATCTTGGATGCAATTTAGGAGCTCGTCAGAAGATTATTTTGAAGGAGTTGAAAGTTTTCTTAATTATGCATACAAGCATGTTAAGTCGAATGATTCTAAGAATAGATATAGACATATGAGGTCTGAAGTACACAAGCATCTTCTTTATAACGGAATCAAGTTGACTTGTACTACAGGGTATTTCCACATTGAGGATGAGGGTAATGACAGTGATGAAACTGATGAAACTGATAGTGGCAATGAAAGAAATTATGTGACCAATATGGAGCAAGATGTTAATATGCATGGTTTAATAGAAGAAGGTTGTCCACAAGATCCAAATGGAGATGCATACAAGTTTTACAAATTGTCAGAAGAGGCAAAACAACCATTGTACTCTGGTTGTGAGTCGTATTTCAATTTGTCTTTTGTTGTCAACTAGTACTATCATCAACAAAGCATTTAGTATTTTGCTATAATTGTTGAAAAATGCATTTCTTCTTTGTGAGAAGTTACCTACAACCACCAATGATGCAAAGAAATTTATTGCAAACTTGGGTCTTCATTATGATAAGATTGATGCATATAAGAACGATTGCATCATTTATTATGAGGAGCATGCAAATGCAACACAATGTCCTACATGTAAGCTTTCAGGATGGAAGAGACAAGGAAAAGGTAGCAGAAAGATAAAAGGGTTTCATGGAAGGTGCTTAGATATTTTTCACTCACGCCAAGACTTCAAAGATTATATATGTCATCCAAGACAGTTGCAGATATGAGATGGTATTTTAAGGA